AAATGTGTGCAAGCTGTAAAAGACTTGCTAGCCACATTGCCAGGTTTAGTTTTGGTGTCTCTTACTATGGTGCGCCAGGGGTGTGGGGTGGATGGAGTGTGGCACTTCCCTCGTGTCGCATTGGCTTGTTGGCTCGTGGAAGGAGGGATGTTCCGTGAAGGAGGCTTTAAGAGGATCTTGAAGAGGGAGTCCCTCCCTTTCTTCAGGTTGATGGAGGTATGGAGTGGCGGTTTTCTTTGCGTATTCCTTCGAAGAGGACATGTCCAATGTGAATCCTACGAGGCGTTGTGATGCTCTTGCCTCGCATCTTCAACAAGACGGGAGACGAGAGTGAAGCGCAAGACACTGAGGAGAGCTCGATTGGAATAAATCGCGATTGGCAGAATAACGAAAGAGCGGATTTGAACCACTGGCCAACCAAATCCATAATTACTATTAAACAAATGTCTGCAGAGATTAAGGGATATGTTGCGACATGTTGCTTGAATCCTTTCTCAGGCTGGCAAGTGCATGCAGTGTGGGCTTCAATTTCCAGGACGTGGGGGCGGATGGTCAGTTTGATGTCTCAACTCATCAATAGAACTATACTGTTTTGATCGGTTTGGCCTCACTGCCTCCAGTTGGCTTTTTTGGATTCATCAGGCAGCCCGACTCAGCTGGATGTTTGCATGCCTCAAGAAAGCTGCCACCTTGTGCCACTTCTGCGAAGGATTTGGCCATTGCATCCTTGTGCGAAATTCTGGGTGTGATGATCGCAGTGTGCACGTGCTTGGCCTCAGCGCACGTCGGCTGCTTTTCGGCGCAGCTCCCGACGATCGGACCAAGGATCGACTCGCCGGGCCGCGTCCCGACACAAGGCACGGTGACCACGGGCCGGTGGTTGGTTTCGGGACAACCACGCCAGGCTTCGCGTACATCCTCACGGGTATTTGCAGCTTCATGTTGGGCTTCCGCTACCTGGGTGAAACGGTCTGGCACCCGAGGGTGCTAAAGGGAGTTGCACAGAGAAGATGTTGGAACGTTCCAAGATTCATAGACTGCAAGTGCTTCTGTCGCCTTCAAACAGCAGAGTGATGGGTTTGCCGCCCAGTGTTGTGAAGACATTGGTCAGATTGCCTTCCCAGTTTGTCTCTTTTGAATTCTCCAAGTGCTGACTAGATGCCACCTGTTTGGTTTTTCTATGTTTTTCTCCTTTTATCACTTCTCCTTTCTGACTTTGCCTGTTTTCGTAGACTCTTAGACCTCACATTGTCACACGTTCTGCTTGCTTTTTTGTGTTTGTCACCGCTTTCAAGCTGAGAATGACTTGATTTCCCTGAAGGATGCCGAATGGGGATCTTCCAATTCTGATGCTCACTGGACACTCAGACTCCATTTTTATCTGTCGCCCAGTTCCTTATCATCGTGGCGAGCATTGGCCGCTTTGGTGCTATGCTGGCCAGCTGCGCTACCTGGGTGCCTGTGGCTTCGCAGTCGGGGGATCGTGTGTATTGGGTTTTCATGCGATGCACCAGGTTTTCACATCACACCAGGATGACTGTCATAGGCGTCATTCCGAGTCATTCTCAGCTTGTTTGCGCTTGTTTGCTTCACACATTCGAGTGAAACCTTCCTCGTGACATTCAAGCAAGGCCTTGCAGCTCAGTTGCTTGCATTCTTCTTTACTTTTCCACACTGGAAAACGGGAGACTGAGCATGCATGCACTGGCACAAGGGCTTGTTTTTGAGGTGTCCACTTACTGCTACGCCTTAATTCCTTCATAGTGAGCTGAGCTGCAGGTGCAATGCCCCGAGCTCTTTCCTACTACCGTGCGTGGTGAGGCCCAAGTTTTAGGTTCGTGCAACTGTCCGGGCTCGCGAAAAAAGAATCATCGTCCGTTGCAGCATTTGCAGCGAAAACACGTGGCAAGGCCCACTCCTTGATGAATCTCATGTCAAAGCTGGGTGCCTTCCTGGCGCCTTTCATCATCAGTTCGATCCTTGGAAGGATGTTCGTAGTAGCGATGCCCTTTGTTGCTAATAGCTTCTTGCTCCTAGTAGTAAGGCCAGGAGCTACTAGTAGCGTCCGTGCTCCTAGTACCGATGCTCTTTGTTCCCAGCCTTTAGAGACTGGTGGAAGATCCGGGCGAGCCAACGACTTGAAGGTCGATTTTCTCCATTTCTTCTCGCTCATGTGAGACACGCCCGTGAGCAACCTAGGTGACATCTTCACGCAAGTGCAATGTGGTTCGATGATGTGTGTCAGGCACTCGGTGCTTTTTGGTGATTGACGGCAGGAATGCCCAAGTATCCTCTCAGTCTCCCCCACGGCCGTGTCGAATGTGGACCTTTTGCCTCCAATTTTGTCCCTCTTTGAAGTGGTCATCACCTTTTAACAACCATTCACTCTGGATTTGCAACTTAGGCAGATATTTTTACAGCCAGGCATGTGCGATGTTTGAAACATGGTATCACGTGGAACTCATTATGAATTTATACAAAGTCCTGGCCAATCCTTTTAGATTTCACAGAGCCAGGTTCCCTATTGAATGGGATGCAAAAACGTTCTACTCCACACCCACAGAGGAGCTTTCAGTATGCTTCCTCACCCAAACTCAGGCACAACTCCTGCTTAACAGTGTTGGGAATCATAGGACGCACCAGAGTTGCTGAGCGCTTGCCGCTTGCCTCTGCTTGCTTGCTGGTAGTTCTCGGTCCTAAAGAGCTACCCTACCGACATCGATCTGTTCTTTTTTCTTCGACATCGATTTGTCAGAAATATGGTTTCTTGTTGGTCAACTGACGAATGACCAATGACAAAGAACGTTTTTTGTTTCCCTGAACTGGCTGGGCCATGATGATGATACCACAAAAAATAGCATCAGCAAGGTTTCTCATATAGTACCGCCCAGTCTCGTTTCACCTGGCGACTACCAGCAGATATTTCTTTGTCCACGATTCCAAGATAAGGCCATCTCTTTGCTCGCGGCTGGCTTTGCCTTCAGCTTGCTTCTTTGGCCTGATTAGAAGTGTATTGACATACTGTACTGTGCATGTTTGCATTCAAGAGCTACTCAGTTGTTCAGAAGATTGTCATCTTGCATTTGCATGCATTTGCATAGCAATGCGGTGGCCCCACTTGGACCTCCTGATGCGGGTTGGCACAGGCCGGAGACAGCAGGAGAGGAGCTCAGTGCTGCCAGCGAGGCAGACCGTTTGGGCACGTGGAAAGTTCATGTCTGGCAAGTGGTGTGTGATCACTTTGGGAGGGTTTGGAATGACCGTTTTCGATACTCCTCTCACCTTGAAGCTTGGGCACTTGGTACATTTTCGGGTTGTGTTCGGAAAGCGCTGAGCCCTAAGGCCCCCCAAAGCGAGCAATAGTTGAGACGCAGATGAATGAAGCCGTTGAAATTGAATTGTGCCAACAAACATTTAGACAGCAGATGCATACTTGGACATGGCCAGATCATCGACATACTGCTGGGTACATACTGCCTGCACCTTCCTTTTCTGTGACATGTTCGGTGAGGTGGCTGAGACGGTCTACGCTGACAGCGATCTCAGCGAGCTCAGCAGTCAAGAGTGAAGGTGGTGAAGGTCGACACGGCACAGAGACCGTGAGGACCTCAGTAGGGTAAGTGGTTGCAGGCCATTTGGAATCCACTACTTGAACTCTGGTCCGAACCGAAAACAGCAGTTTGTGTTTGTCCTGACCCTTTGGCAGTCTAAGAATTTGCTTGCCCCCAACACAAGTCGCACGCACTCACTGTTGTTCTCATGCCTGCCATGCAGATGTACCCAGAATTGTTCGACCATGCTCATGAAGGTTACATCACCATTGCACTATATAATGCAATTAATTGGAGAGTCAAGCAATCATGAGGTGACTTGCCAGTCAAAATGCAACGCACATGGAAACAGACACTGATGGGGCACTGCACCACTTGCGATCGGTTGCTGTGTATTTCTCCGGGATTTGCGATCTGGGTGTCGCCTCAAGGCCGTTGGCCATCTGTTTCTGAGGTAAACATCGGTTGTGGCTGGGAACCCTGGCTGCTGTGCATGGCGCCATACTGCATTGGGTTGACGTGCCTAAGAGCGGCCTGAAACCTTCCGTCCGGTTGTGGCCAGTAAGCCTTGTACGACAGCGTCCTTGCTCCTAGTAGCGATGCCAGGAGCCCCTAGTAGCTTCTTGCTCCTACTGGTAGTAGTAAGGCCAGGAGCCCCTAGTAGCGTCCTTGCTCCTAGTAGCATGTATATATATGCATATATATAGCTTTCGCTAAGTCACTGTTGTTTTCATGACTTCCTCAACCGACGGTGCACTTCGATCCTTTCCAGACTTGCCCAGGTGCACGGTGATTGCTGAGTTGGACGAAAAGCTCAAGAGTGTTCTAGCTGATTTGTTCCCAGCTTGAGCCACCTTGCTTGGTCTATTACGGACCACAGAACTTGAAATCTCCTTGTTACAGCCAATGCCAGGCCGGTTGCAGTGGAGGTAGTGTGAATGAATTGGTAAAGCCATCCGTGTCAGCTTTGAAGAAGCTTTCACCCAAAGGCTGGTTGCGAATCAGGGCTCAATTTTGTATGGCTGCGGATTGATACCTCATGGCTCCAATGGCAACGAAACATGAGAAACTGTGAGCAGCAGTGAAGAGGCAGGCATTGTTCTGGATGACCTGCCTGCTTTTGCATCCTTTTCAATCGATTCTTCTTTTCCATGGCAGCCCAAGAAAACAGAAAATGGGACGGATAACAGATGCGGCCTAAGAACTTTGCTGAACCACGTGGACGAATCAAAATCCTTGAGGTCCATTCTGGACTGGTCCCTAGAATATGCTAGATGCAGATCTGGGTCGCTTTACCTGCTTTCTTGAGCTGCCTTCTGCGCCAACTTGCGGGCGTATCGTTTGGCCACCAAAAGGCGATGACGGAATGTGCTTCTGCGCTCCGGGCGAAGACTTCAATGCGGTTTTGTTCGTTTACGGTGCTTTCGGTGCAAATTCGCATGTGCCCAGGTGGACATCAGTTGGGCCTTGTCTGAACGGAGCTCTCCAAGGCTCCGGAGACATGCTGAGTCGACAGCAATCCCAGTCCCGAGTCATACGACTCTTGGCAAAAAGAGCGTCTTCCTAAATCGAAAGACTGAGGCAAGAGTTGCGGCAAGAGTTTTGAGAGGGCTGTAGGCCCAATCCTGGAAGACATTCCTCTTCAAGACACATGACTTATGACTCATGGGCCCACGGGCCACTTATTCGCCTAAGCTTGGGGTGGGGTGCGATCTGACAGTGGTTGATTAGAAGCAGAGTGGCAGGTTTCACATGTGTGGTAACACCCAGATGTTCTGATCATCCTTGGCTCTAAGCCGTTGCCGAGTTGCCAGGACTCCTGCGGGATTGGTCGGCTCTAAGCCGTTTCCACGGAAGGCCGATGGATGGTTAGAGATTCGGGACTCACCGAAGAACTCTTAACAAAGAAGAAACCTCAACAACCTCCCACGCATTGGCTGTCTAGTTGCAGGGTCACAGCTGTGAGCATTTTGCCATTGCACCAGGCGGTAGATATTTCCTGGGCCTTGCCACCACAGCCAGCGAGAGTCGGAGCCTGTAGAGAAGAGACTTGTATTGGAACCGAGCCGCTTCTACCTAACTCTAGATCAGCATTCAACTTTGAGTGTGGTATGTATTACTTTTCAATCCCTTGCTTGTGCCCATATGCGGTCGAGGAGGCTCGAGCCATGGTGTCATCATGATTGTATCAATGCACAAGCATTCATGTTGAAGGAAGACCATGGAAACCAAGGGCAGTTCCTACTTGCGGGAACATGATCTTCTCACCTGAATCCCGGTCCCAAATGGGTGCTGGCTGCAAGGGCAGGCCACCCCCGAACCATTCCTCCCCTATCTCGACACAGCTTATGATTTTCCAGCCTTTTTTTTTTCGTAGATATATATTTTTTCTACTGGAAATTTCCGCTGGAAAAACCTTGCCTCTGCAACCACACTATCAAAATACTTTAGTACGGTTAGGCCGGTTAGGCTTACAGATAAAATCTTGATATGGACTGAGTGGTTTGATGTGGCAGCACTGTGGCTCGAATGCAAATTTTCAAGCTTTCAGCCACCCAGCCCGTCAAATCTTTTGACGTTGCACTGAAACAACTATGCATCAGCAAGCTCTTAATTCTGGTATTTTGGGAGGAGATCGAATTATGCCATTCTTCTCTGCACTTTTCTTGCGTTTGTTGAGACAGTTTGATCATAGAATAGGACAACACAGAACGCAAAGTAGGAAAAACAATTTGAGCTGACAACAAGACATGATATAGACATTTACAGGCACTCTTTCCGTCCAGTATATGGCCGGGCATGAATCCAAAAAGCAATACCCTGGCCTTAGGCTCGCCCAAAACCTCGGTACAGGGAAGGCCATACAGGGGAGCAACATGGAATATTTCATCTATTTGTTGTTCTATTCTCTATGTTTTTTCAACGTTCTAGTCTATATTTTAGTTTTTGTTGTATATATTTTCTAATTTATCATAGTTTCTACATTCATGTTATATATCAATGCATTTTTTTTGTGCTAGTTTGCATTTTTTTCAATTTTCCTCCAGGCGTCCTGGAAAGTATGCTCGTCTACGGTTTGAGCCAAGAATTCTGACAAATGGGATAACTAGATCAAGCAAAAACACATAGAACACACATGGAAACATAGAGGGCAAATAGAGGTGGACAAGACAAACAGTTCCCACGCTACACGTCTCATGGTTCTGAGATCGATCGTTTAAAAGGACTACAAGCGGCACGGCCATTGCATGCGGTGCAAGCAGTATAAAGTCGTCAGAACGTCTTCCCCAAACATGTCCTATTAGAGCACACTCGCATTCAGCGGCCCACACGAGAACCAAACAAACGGGGAGATGAAAAAATATGTTCTGAGGCACAATGCACAATTTTTCTGATGAGGCCAAATCAAGTCTTGTAATCACACATTTCAAAGTGTTTGGTTCTCTACGCGATCATAAGCTGTGTTTAGGGTGGGTCATTTAGGCAAGGACATCGCCGGCAGACACCGAACGACCAACGGTCGCACTTCGGCCGTCCGATTGCATCACTCTTTTCGCTGTGCTACGCTTGTTCTGCCTCCGAAGAGGGGAGGCATCATGCACAGCTACACCTGTGACTAGATTTGAGTCTGTTTTTGCAATTCATGGTTTAAGCAGGACTTAATTTGCATCGGACACAGAACAGTTTCACCGCGTTTCATCCATTTTAGTCCGCACCAATACATAGATGCCCTAGACAGCTGCAAGAGGCAACCACTATGCAACCAAGTGACGCATGCGGAGAAAAGGGTGTCGTGCAGCCTTTCATTCATTTTTGGAATCGCATACCCAACTATAAACAGTCCTGTATCTCCAACATTGCCAAAGCTATCCTCGTTGGTTTCCCTCAGGATTCGTGCCATTTACGGCAAGTAGAAACACACGGCAGTACTAAGGCGCTGCGAAAGCTCGCATCTCCAAGAGGAGTGGAGGTGGGCTGAACGGAGTCGCAGCATTCCTTTGAGTTTGGCTCCCACTCGCGGGTGTTGATTTTGCATCCCAGCCCATGAACCACATCAACCCAATCCCATCCCATGCCTTCACGCTTGAGACCGTGTGAGCTTGGAGCCAATGAGGCAGATCCAGTTGAAATCCAAAGAGATGAGCCCGGCACTCGGCTCATCTCGGCTCATGGCTTGGCGTGCTCGGCTCCGCTTCTACGGAGCTTCCCCCGACGTTCGAAGAGTCGAAGCGCGTGCGAAGCGAGGCGTGAGAGGATGGCATCGCAAAGGCCTGGAAGGAGTCGAAGTCGTCTCAACTTGGAAAAAGGGAAGGAAAGGGAAGGAAAGTATGATGATATAGACTAGAACTCCCTGTCAAGGGAACCTTACGTTCCTTTAAAGTATATTTTGCCCTTGATTTTCTCGTTGAGTTGAGTTGAGATCAACTCCACTGGGGTGTAATGGCTGTGTTTTTTTTTGCATTCATTTCTTGGGGAGAATGTCATTTCTTTGAATCATTCTCCCACATACCTGGAGTCTTCAAGTACCCCTTACCTGGCTTTAAACAGGAGAACACGTACGTACTTGGTGTTGGCTTTGTTGAGGTCCTGTACCCAATGGTCCAGACAGACGCTTTGAGACTCCAGGTTTGCAATGTACATACACATGATACTTGAATCCAATCCACAATACGCATGGCATTTGATTGACGCAGAGGAAGAACAGCACATCAGTGCTCTCCATTAGCCTCTCCGGACCCAGGGCCTTGGCCGAAGAGGCTGCAGCTGCAGCTGCGGCAAAGACTTTGGTCCGGGCTGTCGTGGAGTCGTGGAGAGTGGTGGGAGTAGTTTGTTCGGGCAGTTTCTGAAGTTTTTGGACTCTTTTGCATTCATGTCATCCGGTCATTTCCGGTTCTTTGGCCGGACCGCGAAGAGTCACGAAAGAGTCACTGGTGCTCAAGTGCCTGACAGGCACAAGCCGAGGAAGTCTCAAGGTGGTGCTCTCAAGGGCACAAGATACTTCTGAAAGGGGAAGGGTTCGGAAGGGGTGTTCCTTTTGTTTTGGTCCAGATTCCTTTTCTTTTGGTAAGACCTTTATCTCCAATGCTTCTCTGGAACTCTGAATCATTTCCAATGGGTGATACTTGCTCCACTTTGCACCAAAAAACGCAGATGTTCGCGAGTCCCAAAGGGTGTGTTGCCAAGCGGACAGACCAATCCGCCGCGATGAACACCGGCGCGCCGCGATCCCAGGCGCCGCGATGAGATGGTCGAACGCTTGGCACAGGCGAACGCGAGCGCCGCGTGGCACCGGGGTCGCGCTCCATCCGAAGGAACCCTTTGGGGACGAAGAGCGTCCGAAGGAACCGTTTGTACTGGATCCGGCAGGAAATTCGTGACTTGAAGGAGAAGCTGGCCAAGGTTGGTCAAGGCTGGGTCATCACTGAGATGTCTCAAACAAGAGTGCCTTTCAAGTTTGCATGTATCATTTTTTTCACAGGAGGTTCCTGCAAGCAAATTTTGATAACTCCTGGGCGCAGTCTGTTGGCTGTGGGTCAAGACTCAACATCGCTTGGAAGGGATCCTCTTCGTTCACGGCTTGCAAAACCCACGGCAGTGGCTCCAAAAAAGCTTCGTGATGTTTGTGCCAGGTGCGCAGCCAGTGGACCCAACAGCTTTTGGCAACTTGGAAGAATGTAGTGAATCGGTGCTGAACAAGACATACTCGCGATGGCCTCCAACCTAATAACGATGGCCTCCAACCTGTGCAGAAGAAAGGAGTCCAAGACTCCAAGAATCGTTTTTCTTTCAGAGCCTGCGAGCGGGTTGTCGGTCATTTGTCACGTCACTGATTCGTGGAAAGGGGTTTGCAAGCAAAGCGAAGGGAAAGGACGAGTTTGAGTACCAGTAACCCGTCATAGGTTGAGAGAAGCAGGTGACTAAATTGTCGAATAGATTGTGGATCAAAACCTTCCTTTCCAAATCCAAGACAGGCCAACACTCAAGACGTGGATCATATGTAGGCGATCCCAGAGAACAACCGTCCACGCCGAGCACCCAATGGCCAAATCAGTTTTCAGGAGCTCCTGCGGTCGCCACGCCCAACGGCCACTTTGCTGTAAGGGATGGGAGTGTGTTGAAATTGGGTCGTCCCAGCATGTAGTAGCCTCTTGTTAGCTACGAGAGTAGCATAGCCGCTTCTATCCACTAGCAGCTGCGTGCTCGGGAAAACCGTTCCATGCAACTTCTATGCCTATCTCAGGTCTTGCATGTCACTACCCCTTTAAAAAAAGAACCTAGTATTGGAGCAAGGAACGCAAAAGACTCAGGACAACTTATGCAAACCTTGTTTTTTGTTCCTTGTTTGTTGTGTTCTGCACCAATCTTGTTGCTGATTCAGTAGTGGCAGACAAGACCAAAGGCGGGGAGCATGGTAGCGCTTTTCACATCCACCAGGGTATTCTAGTTCGGGGCGACTTGCTGCAGTTCACAGGTTGAGCTGATCCACGGCCATGTGAAGAGTCTGGAGTTAAGAAGAACATGGCCAATGATCTGGGCGTGCTGCCACGCTCAGGCTTTGGTGACTTTGCGCAGAGCTGGGCACTTCCAAAGGAAGGTGAGTCTGAGGGGAACCTGCTACCTTTGTCCTGGCTGCTGATGATCGTGTTGTGAACCTTTGTACTAGATATGCATATATATATATACACAATAAACAATTGGATACATAATTCGTGACACACTGCCCTTGCATACATCAGATGAAGATGCGCAGCGACATCATAAGTACAACACATTTCTCTACTCACTCAGTATGCAAAATGCACAGATCACCACAAAGCCAGAAAGGCCTTTTTCGACAAGTGTCCCTTTATCTATGCAACCCAGCCCATTTGGTTTGGATTTGGGAAGGTCAATGGAGAACATCGCACATTGACAGCATCAATTGCACTGAGAAAAAGCAAGGCCGTTGTGCCACGGAAAGTGTGTATCATTTGAGAACTACTTCTTAGATTCGGGGAATATTTACCACAGGGAAGCGTTCAAGGGGTATCTTGGTGTTGCAACCTCAAGAATGCTCAATTTGCTTTGTTTAGTAAAGCTTACACAGAGATCATAGGGCACCTAGCAAGTTACGCAGCAGCAGCAGCAGCAGCAAATCTGACAGGTTCATACTCTGCCAAAGTCCATGTCCCTGCATGTATCTACAGCCCTTTTTTTCATCCACCCGTCACTCGTCACACGTCATCACTTTGAGTGTTGATCACATACCGGTGTTACATGTACAATACGAGAAGCAGCATATGCCGAGTCTGAATTCTTTTCGGCTCATGTCCTGTTCGAATTTTTGTCCGATGCAACTGCTTGCAACGTTTTCTTTGCCACTTTGCATTACGCTGGAGGTGGACCTGCTAGCAGAGATGGAGGCCACTTGTTGTTTTGCTTCTTTTCAGAGAACTTGACCATTCGGAGTCACTCTTTGGCCACACGGTTCCAAGTTGACTCATTCCTTGCGACCAGAGTGGTACTTTCCACCGGAGGCGCCGCCTTCGGGGACTCGAACTGGGGCCCTACAATGTCCCAGTCGTGCGGCACAGAAGAAGGGTAAACCGTTTATCAGGGGGTTAGACAAGCGTTTTTTTGCTTTACATGGATTTGTTGGTCTTCACAGACTTATGAGTTATATCTTGAAGAGTTCCTATGTCGACTGTCACGGGCGAGGCCAGGAAGTCGACAGAGCAGCAAAGGCACGCCGAAGGAGTGCCAAGTTGACCGTCAGTGGAAAGGAAGTCGGCACCGGCGACCGACGCCGCAAGGTCTATTTTTTAGCCCGTGGCCCTGCCTCGACTAAATTCAGTAAGCGCCTACTGTACTTAATTATGTAAGTAAGGCACAAACTTGTAAGCTACTAGCAATAGGAAGCTTCTAGTAACTGGACGCAGGAGGCGGCCGGGGAGGAGCTTGCTTGAAGCTCCCACTAATTATTTGGTTCCTAGATTTTCATCAGGTCCAATTAGGTGCCACCTCATGAATTCGTAACTCCTTTGTTATATCTCGAAGCTTTGCTTTGTCCGTTCGGTTTCAGGTGTACATGCGGTGTCGTGTTGCTTCTTGTCTGTGATTTCTTTTGTAGTGCAAGGTGGTAATTTACCAGTGCTCCCCAACACTCACTGAAAGTGAAGTGGGGAACGCTGCACCAGGATGACGGGAGCAAGCGCCGAAAGGACAAGGACAGAATCGCAGATGATGAATTGACTGAAGGATCGATATGTCCTCTACATGGACCATCCTTGTCATCCTTGTGCTTTGTGAATTTGTGAATGTATATATTGTAAATACAAATACTATATTCACAGTTGAGGTTAAGTTGAGATTGCCCGTGGGGTCAGATTCTTGCTTAAAGGCTTTGATGTTTGACAGAGCAATCATCAATTGTGGTTCAACAAGCACACCACCTGCAGACTTGCAGACGCCAGATCTTGAGATCACACAGGACCGTTCTTCCCGGAGGCCCAGTCGGATCTCAAAAACTCAAAGCTGCTCACTTGTGTGACCCATTTGAAAGCTGTTCCTGTTCGTTTATTTTCCTGATATGGGAGGCTCTCTACTGCATCCAGTGAGAAGCCCAGACGATGTTGGTCGATAGCTTTTAGGCGAACAGTCCAGTTGCTGGTCGCATCAAGTAAAACCCCACTACATTCCTTCAGCCAGCATGCGCCTTTGGCGCCTTTCAGGGAAAGAAAAGGACACCTCACTGGGAGTCTACTGGGGAGCCGAGGTGGTGGCGGTGGCTGGCCAGATGGGCAGGTCGAAGTCGCTGAAGCAGCAGTCGAATGTGTGACGAAGTCGATGTTTCAACGACGGTGTTCCGCGCTTCTGCTGTTTCCAGGCTGCTTCGTTTGCAGATGGGTGGCAGGGTGCTCAGCTTTGCCTTGTTGGCACCTTTGGACGAGGTGTTATGTCGGACATGCCGGAAGTCAAGACTTCTTTGATGACTCGATCAACCTTTGAAGTCATGAAGCAACTTCCAGGTCCAAGCAGAGAACACGGAGCAGTTCTGGAGAGTTGCAAGGACCTTATGAACCTTCTGGACCTGGCAAGGTGATTATGGCTCAAGAATAGAGTGCACCCCAAACTGCGGGTCCCAGGGTCTCTTTTGTTTTTGGGGGGGATTTGTCTCAAAGGCGGGAGACGAGAATTGGCCGAACCTTGTGAACACACGAAACCGAACCTTTTGACACTTGGTATCACTTGTTTTGTTTGTTTTTTTTGCCTCGAAATTAGTCGCAGCCTTTTCGAGGCCGGTGAATCAATGGGGCGCCGGAGCCGCTGAGATGTTGGGCTCTCGGGCAAAAGTGGTTGGATTTGTTTCGCCAAGTGGTGGGATGTTCAGGCAAGCTGAACTATATAGATACATTATACATCTATCTATGTTGTTCGTTGAGGGGACATATGGTGGGAGCTTCTTGTATCACTCGCTTCCTGCTGTTGCCGTTGCCTTTGTCTTCTGCACATCGGAAGCTAGTCACTCGTCGGATTCATGACTCTTGCCTTCCAAGGGAGGGGAGAGTCCACCAAGGAGTCCTGCCTTCCAAAAATCCGGCTCTTGGGACAGGCAGTCATGGAGCGCCCTCAGCCATCAGTGACGGTATATCTAGATAGCAGGGCCATTTCATGACCGGATGAGAAGAGCAAGATTGCTTTGACGTGACGCTTCAATGTGAATTGGCTGTCTTGCGCATGTGCAGGGGCCCTGCCTTGCAAAGAAGTGGCTCCGGGGACATGCGACAGCCAGCATCCCAGCCACATCCAATTGATTATTCAAGCTGCTCGCGCTCTTGTTCCAAGTTTGCGACCAGGACCCCGACTATGCAAAGAAGTGGCTCTGGGGAAATGAGGCAGCCAGGTTCTTAGCCGCATCAATTTCATGAACATTAATAATGTGATTTTGAGGGCAAATTAAATAGGCAAATACTGCATGGGTCCACTCTTGTTGCAAGTCTGTGACATCAGGACCCCTTCTTTGCAAAGAAGCGGCTCTGGGGACATGCATCAGCTGAAATCTCAGCTATTTTCTTTACATGCCTTGCACTTGTGCGGCTTTCAGAAGAGATGCAGTGGTTCCGTCATCCGTTCAGAATTTGTGGGCAGGACGCCCACGTTGCGAAGAAGTGGTTCTGGGGATGTGCGACAGCCAGAATCTTAGCCATAAATTCTTAAATTTTGGATGCGGCGCACGCGTCGTTTCTCATTTGCTGAGTATTTTTTAGGACCAGGGGGGTTGGCCGGTAGTAGAGGTGAGGTAGGTTAGCTAGAGGTAGGTAGCTAGTAGTAGCTAGGTAGCTAGTAGCTTACTCAATCTACTAGTATGGATGCAGGATAGCGCTATTCATTTGGTTCCTAGATTTTTAGGGAAACTCAAGTTTTTTGATCAGGACTGCCATGCAAAGAAGTGGCTCTGGAGACTCACGACAGCCCGATTCCTAATATAGCCACTTTTGCTTTAATAAGATCATTTGGAGAATCAGCTGCAATGTTCATTGATTTGTCATCAGGACGCCCACGATGCAAAGAAGTGGATCTGGAGACATGCGACAGCCAGCATCTCAGCTACATGCCAAGCCTCACAGCTTCAGCAAACGATTGTCACCAACTGTCTTCTTCTTTCAAGTTCATCAGGACCCCTACTATGCAGATAAGTGGGCCTGGAGATAGGCAGCGATTCCCAGCCTCATTGTCGCAGACAGGACTTCTTGAACGTATTTCCATTGTCATCAGGCATGCTGAAGGCATGAATGATGAGGCCCGAACGTTCGGATGGCCTTGTTTGTTGCTCAGCCTTACCTTGGCTGCCTAGCTATTTGCGGAGGCGTGGGCAATTGAAGAAGATCGACTAGAAAAGTGGGAGCCTTCAAGGGACTTGCTGGCCAGAACCACCTAAGAATCTGGATGAACAGGGTATATTAAAAAATACATGTTACGTTACAATTATTTTATAGATGATCAATCTCACATTGTTCCTGACTCCCCAGTGGATGAATGCTCTCACTGGACACTGGGAGTTGTGGAATGGATCATGTCCATGAGCGGGTTTGTTTGGGCAAAGCTGCGATTGGGTCCAATTTAGAGCACCAAATTGGGGGTCCCCCTGAAAAGTAAACCAACGTGTTTGAGATTGAACAAGTTCGATATGGGATGAGCATGTATATATCGGCAGTGAATCAACAGTATTCAGTATGCTATGATATGCTATGCCTTTCTGGCTGTTTGCTTTTGCCTGATGACACTCTGTTTTGGATCGCGTTGGTCGGTTCGATAATCTCCTAGCAAGTGATAGGGCAGGGAAATGGCACAGGAGATATCCACAGCTTTCGGTCTATCTGGTCTATTTGGGCACCAAGCAAATAAAGATGAAGAAGTCTAAGTTCACCAGAGATCTATGGAGCAAGCACGGGTGCTACTTAGAGCTTCAGCTCTTTCGTTTGGTCCTCCTGTGGGAACCAGGTATCGCTCTGTCTTTGTCCGGGCGGACCTGGATGAGGATGGCTTCGTGGAGCCAATGGAGGCGTGGCGGACGTGGGATGTTCGATGAGACCGGAACTTCAGATCAAAGTGGGTCAATTGCACCTGGAACTTCTTCTGATAAAGTCAACTGGAAGAGAACTCAACAGTTTCTGCTTGTGCTATTGTCACTGCAGGCCAATTTGTCAAATCCACCTGGAAAACCACTGACGCCTCTGCGACATGACCAGCCGAAATCGTTGTTCTCCAGGCAAGGGATGTCCTGGCGAAGGCCAACTTGCCTGAGGACGAGTGATTGGAGATTGGAAAAAGGCAAACCCATTGGAGAATGGGTCTTTACTGTGGATGTTTAGGAGCGCTTTCTTTCTTTGGCAGGAAGACATGGCACGGATCTACACACTGGCAGATCTTGATCAGGACCGGATCCACAGTTCGGTGTTAAAATGATGCAATGGAATAGTGTCAGTGTGAAATACACTTTGGATACAAGCTGCTGGCACAAGCCGATCTCTGCAAATAAGTGTTCGCTTTCAGCTGTAAAGGGACGCTTGAAAGCAGAACCTACAGGATGGCCGCCTGAGTGAGGGCGAATTTATTTGTGCCCTTCACCTGGCTTTCCGTCGAAGCAAAGAGGCTGGGGGGAGGAAGTCCGACACATTTGGTGAGGCATGCATGAGTTGACGATTGGATGCTTGTGGATCAAAGATGATCAAAGTAAACAGCCAGCCTTGAGAGCTTTCTTTCGCACCTCCGAACTTATGTAAAAAGCCACAATTCACTGTAACCGTTTTGTGCGTGTTTCCCAGTGTGTGCATGAATGTATAATTTCAGTACCCATCATGATCACAATGAATGAGTCCTGATCCAATCAAACCATTTGGCTCCACAGAGAACTTTCCTTGGGAACGAGATAGTTTTCCCACGTAGCAGTGCCAGGCAGCTTAGTTTCCTGAATTGCCTTGCCTAGCTTTGAGGCATGCAAAGAAAGATGACACTGAACAAAACAGAGTAAGGACCGATAAGACATGGATTCAACACGGACCATAAAGGTTACTGAGGTCGCTTATTGGTTGCTCAGGTTATATACTTCCTTGACACATTCGATCTCCGGACAATCAGTTTCATTCGATGATGGATGGACTGTTGCGCTTGAAGTGAGGTCCATGGCCAGCAAGGGCTTCCTTGCATGCAATCCCTTCCGAGAGGTTTGCTGTTCCAACAGCACAGCTGAACATAGCGATGCGCCTTGGAGGCAACAGATGCAAACACAACAGACACACTCACGTTGAGATTCTACAAGTTGGTACAAACTATTTCAAGATTCAAGATAGATTATCTTTTTTGTACGACTGATTTTCTTTGTTATATACACTATACTATACATGAGAGCAACTACATGGATGTTTATTTTGATTACGTAAACATTTCGATTTTAATAAATCTTTCACACAGTCGTTCAGGGCAAACATAAACATCATAGTTCATAAAACCAATTGAAAACAACAGATTGTCAATAGCATTTTCTTTTTCCATAAACACCGCAAACAACGAACTTCTTAATATATTCATAAATTATGAACATTTTATGAACACATAAACATATGGACAGATTTATGGTTCTTGTTCAAGGGCCAATTTCCTTTATGTTATTTTCTTAACGATTTCATAAATTTGGTGATATCGATTTCATTAACAAACACACATATATTGACATCACTAAAAAACAATGACTGTTTATTTTTTCCAGACTTGTCAGAGCTCAAGACTACCGGTCAGTTTTCATTGTGTGCATTGGAATCTAGGGTTTGAGGTTACAGTTTCCCCACTGCAATCAATTCGCAAAAATACATATTTGGACATCACCATAGTATAAATCGTTCTTTGAAGGTGCTTTTCTGTGTACTCACAGTTTTGCTCCCACACCCTGGACGCCTGGACATGGTCAATGATGGTTCATAGTCATTCGTGTTGTCCGCTTCTCAGGTCTATGATGGAGCTCAAAGTCAGACCCTCATATATGGGGAAGAAGATGTTGCTCCAGCACCTCAAGTCGCTGCCAAGGTTGAAGGCAGGGAGTTGTAGGCCGTGAGAAAGTAGCTAAGCTAAGAAACGAGTAAGCTAAGAAGTAGGAGGAGTAAGAAACTAAGAAACTCAAGGGAGTAAGAGGAGTAAGCTCTCACAGTAGCTTAGCTAAGCAGCTTAGTTAAGTAGCTTTCGCTACTACCACTGACAGGAAGCACTTTTTGCTCCCGGCTTCTTCAAGGGGTGGTGCTTCCATGAGGAACCGCAGATTCCTAAATTCACTGGTTCCTAGATTCCTAGATCTCGGGAAACTACACATTCGTCTGGCAGGACTGGGTGTGTTGGAGTGAGAATTCAGAGTACACACCAAGTAGCTGTTTTGTGAGAGAGTTGGACGGTCTGTGATACCGATACTGATACCCCACATAGCCATGGAGACATATTGGATTGTCAATCAATCTTCATCGCCCCGTGAGGCGGCACGAAGTTCGCTGACCTGGTAGAGAAACCAGAGATGGAAGTGGAAGGTGGAGCCAGATACAAAGGCCAATGGCGAGGTAACATGAGGCGAGATGGGAGTGAGTATTCTCGTCACATCTCATGGCACACAACCAACCATGGTCCTCTGGGGGGCTCTGATGGTCCAAATTCCAATCCATGGTTGGACTTGGTTCCCTTTGGTTGGACTTAGGAGCTCAAATATTTGGAAGTTGGACATTTGTGATACTTTCCATCACTGCCCGATGTATTTTTCCCATAGCATTGATGGGATTCTTCGTTTTGGGTTTTGCCGAGGCATGGCCACGGAATCTTAACTCGAGCTGATGGCCACCGCCACTTGCACCAGATAGAACGATCGGCCTAGGCGGTCATGGCCACGTGTTGAGTTGAGAGGGGACTCTTGCGGGTTGTAGAAAAATCAGAGTCTTCAAGATTACAGTAATCTCGATTAATCTGGTATTCTTTTAAGCATCTACTTTAAACTTAATCAATGCCCTTCCATGACGAACCCAGAGACACTGTGGGCAGACCGATGCTGAGTAGCCAAGGCTACGAAGGGGCGTGGCTGGATAATCGAGCGCATGGCCATGGAACCTTTACGGAGTCTAGTGGCACTTCCTATGAAGGACCGACACTCAAAGAATGGTCCAAAGTGGGAGAAGTTCTTTTGTGCATGCATTTTTGAAACATTTTGAAGTTGATTCGGAATCTCATTCGGCATTCTGTTACCGCTGGCGCTGGAAATAACGGTTCTTTGATTTGGCATCATCCTCACCGAGCCCCTGAGGGCAGTGGCACCAAGACCAGAAGCATGGGTATGGAAAGCAACCTTGGCCGGCAAGTAAGAAGCTACTAGTAACAAGGGCATTACTACTAGTAGCTAGAATACTAGTAGCGATGTCTTTGTTACTAGTAGATAGCATCTTTGAGAGCTTGTTGTGTTGGAGTGTAATACTTTGGAGACCGCTAAAGTATTAAGACCTCAAGCAGCGGCATGTCGCAAAGGCTCTTTCCGGGAGAGGGAGAGTTTCTCCTGCCAAGTTGCGAGGTATGTTCATATTGACGGGACCACCTACGAGGGTGAGTGGCTTTGGCTAGCACATGAGACAAGTGGTTCAAGCCAACCTGCAGGCAGGAAATGCAAGAATCGTAGAAATGTTCAAACAGGCGACACACGTGGCTTTTCGCAGCCAGCTTTTCGAACCTTAGGTGGCACTCCGATGAGAAGAGTGGTCGAGGGATTGAGACCTGGTCGGACGGGGCACGCTATGAGGGCGAGTTCCTGCATGGGAGCAAGCATGGCGCCTGGGCAAGCAAAAATGCAGGGCAGTGCTTGGTTAGCGTTGGACAATTAGCCAACCAAATTTTGGAAGTAGAATGCAAAAGATATCCTTCCTTGCAACTGCCTTCCGAAAATGAGCCAGCATCCATGGCTGGTGGTGCCAGACCCCTTTAAAGATTGCTTATGACATCCTTGTGCCAGTCTCAAAATACTTGCAGGTGTTGGAATCTACAAGTCTGGCACTGGCGTGCAGTACGAAGGACAGTTCCACAACGATCAGATTCTTGGCAAGACAGATCAGCCATGGAACGCGAAAGCACTGGTTCGTGATGAACATTCGTCTGTTCCAGGTCCGACCATTTTGTTCAGATCTTTCTCTTTCCTGAAAATGTAAAGATGTAGAAGCTTTGAGAGAAGAAGCACAAAAAACGCGGACGGACAGGAATCCAGGCGATGTCCGAAACAGACGCCTCAGGATGGACGGGGAAGGCACTTACCGCTTTGCCAATGGCCGGGTCTATGTTGGCCAATGGGCCATGGGTCACATGAGTGGCTACGGCAAAATGGAGATGCCAGACGGGTCCAAATACGAAGGAGGTTATGAGGCTTAGCTGCACTCCCTGTGTATAAAGAATAGGACATATTGACAGATCAGACTCGACTCAGCAGTGCTTTTCCCAGGAGAGGGACATGAAGCATGGTGAGGGCACCTTCACCTGGGCCGATGGCCGTGTCTATCAGGGCCAATGGAGAGCTGGTAAGCAGGATGGGGCTGGCTTCTTGGCTCAGATGGATAGGTCATGAATGAAATCAGGATGTCCAGAAGCTGGACTAGTTAAGGAACGGGAAAAGGCTGGCAACACACTGCAAGACTAGACTACCGGTGGTCGGAACGCTATTCTCCTGCCCGCCGACAGCCGATACATGTCGCAAGACTAATTCTTGAACGGGTAACCATGACAGTTAAACTCTAGAGGCTAGATGAGGCTAGAGGATGTTTTTTCGGACGAGGTGAAGCGGACATTCTCTTCATCCGTCCCAGGTGTCCTGATCGACACCAACGGTCGGCAGACAAAGGGCTACTGGCGAATGGGTGAGCGGCTTCGATCACCTGAGGGCTGAGGTGGGCAGTGGACATTGGCTTTGCGGCCGCACGCGATCGTGGTGACCTTCGACCTGAACACGCATGCCTAGTGAGTACTCATGCCTGGTATTGGCCGTGAACGGGCTCCCCATGTATCAAGTTCTTTGATTTTTTTGGGCCTCTCCGGTTTTAGAGGACTTCCAACACACGAGACTAGATCTTAATGAGGCAACTTCAGGTCGACTGTCGACTTGAACCTGTTTCAAGTCTACCTTGTCTACGTATCAAGGTAAAGGATACATGCAAAGTGTATAGCGTGTGCAACATCCGCAACATTTATTTTGTTCCCCGTGTCTCGGTATATTCTCTTACTAGGAGTAAGGACGCTACTAGTAGCTCCTGGCCATACTACTAGTCACAAGAGTACGCTACGAACGGGGCTCCTGGCATCGCTACGAACGGAGCGATCGGACGCTACGAACGTCTCTCGCCTCTCTGGCCAGGCCGCCCTGCGATGCTTCCGTTTCACTCTTTCAGACCTCCAAAACGGCCGGATCCGCCGGTGGCTGCCAGTCGTTGGGCCGGTTTGTCCGGCGTGGCACGTCCAAAAGAAGTCACAAACACCCAAAAAGAACGGCTGAGATGCTGCTGAACTACAGCAGATTGACTGGCAGCAGAATTAGTAGCAGAACGGCCAAAGGCGAATTTCGCCGGGAGCAATTCATGGACCTGCGAGGGAACTGGGACTGGCGCACAGCCCCTGTCGCTGTGCAACACAGAAGACTTTTAGCCCCAACATATCTCAATCTGAAAAAGCATTTCTTCGACGTTCTGGAGATTCTCGTCAGACCCAGGTAGCGAGGACTCTGCTTGGGAAGTTGCGATTGAACCGCAGTCCCTTGTAGAGCCTAGGTGTCACCTTCTGCATGGTTTGGCTCGTGCGATTTGCCCATAGATATTTTTGAACCTAACCTAAGGCATGAAGTCGGGAGAGAGTCAAACTCAAATCTACAGAGTGTGTGCAAACTCCAGTTGGTCAGGCTCATCAAACAGTTGCGCAAGACAACTGCCAGACAGTCGAAAAAGTGCTACAGAACTGGTTCCAAGACTTTTGCAGACACTGCAGATGTGTACGGGTGCCTTTCTGGATGTCTTTGGACTTGGGACACTTGTAGGCACTCATTGGTCTTGGTTGTCAACTCAAAAGCCGGGACGGCAATGCTCCTTCCAACCACCTGAGCCTGGAATCAGGGATTGATGCCATCCGAGCTTCCCGCACCTTTGCTGGCCCACGACCTCAGTGCTGTCAAAAGGCCATCAGGGCAGGACATTGCTACCATTACCCGGTCACTAACTAAACCTGTGAGATTTGTGAGATTACTTCTTCCATTTCTGTCCAAGACTACTCATGGGTATGAACAGATATATATATATATAATATGTTATATATATATATACTATGTGTTTTTTCCTATATATTTTTTTGCTGGGTCCACATCGCGAGTTCCATGGGGACTTGCGTTTCAGTGGACGATCACCTCGCCACTGGGCCACTGGTTGCCGAGGCACTTGCACAGCGATCGACGGATTGGTCCGTGAAAGCGGAGGTCGGCGAGCTCCTCTTCACCAAAGAATGCAACCAAGCGGGTTCACTGCCCCAATGCAACACATTCCGCTTCACTGGCGGATAGTGACCAAAAAATCAACAACTGATAAAAACTGTACACTGTAAACTGTGGTTTACAGCCCTGGTGGCTCTTCGAAAGCTGCCTCAGGAGCTGGGACACTACCTTCAAAGTTTCCAACGGCTTGATGCCCAAAGTAAAGGCGCCACTTCACTGAGAGGAGACTAGGACATTCGAGGCATTTTGAGCAATTGCTTGCTTTTGAAAGTAGAGTCCTTGCAGAATGCCAACTGTATCTTGCTTGCACTCAGACCCAAACTTACCCTTGCCCTCTTGCAGGCATTTGAAGCACCAGTTGGAAGGGTTTCTTCGCTGAAGGGTTCCTTTCTTTTGCAACACTCTTCAAACAATATGATGTGATGCCGCAGGCATTGTGGGACAAGAAGAGGGGTTCCGATGTCCCAGATTCACCGAGAGCAGCGGAAAAACACATTGCCGGAAGAATGCGGGAAAAGAGGACATGGCATGATGTGGCAAGGCTCATTGGGACAGTGTAGGTCCAATGTAGGCCTGGTTTTGATGAGTTAGATTCGTTTTGGTCTTGTCTCGAAGGCCTTCAATGGGAATCATAGGCAATGAACACATGGCTGGCCAATTGCAACTATTGCGTATTACTGACTTGGTTTTTGAAGTCAGTCACAAGACGAGGCGGGAGATCTTCGAACAGAGCGGACTACCAGTGCAAGAGCTTTCGTTCATTTGGCAGGCACTTTTCTTTCTCGAGAAGACCCAAAGCCACCGAAGCCTTGAACAAACGCAAGCGCAGCGTCGGATGGATGAATACCAGCGATGTGTTCAATCCGAGGGCACAAGTGCCACGTCATTAGACTCAGACTGATGTGATTTCCTCTCCTGTGCCAGCTTTGCGATCGAGACGGCGATGGGAACTTGGTCTTTCCAGAGTTTGCTATGGCAATGGCCATGGTGGCAAGGCCTGCTTTCTCCTTTGGTGACTTTTGGCAATTTTAAATTCTTGTGAAGTTTGACGCCGCTCAAGCTGAGCCTCCAAGTTCCTAGCATGCCCAGTTCCTCCACAAGAGAATGTAACATATTTTCAGCTTCACTCGTAGCGTCCTTGTTCCTAGTAGTAAGGCCAGGAGTCCCTAGTAACGTCCCTGCTCCTAGTAGCGATGCCCTTTGCTCCTAGTAGCGTCCTTGCTCCAAACGTGACTTGATCCCCTAACGTGACATCTTCGCTGTGAGGCGTCGCCGGGGCTGGTCCTTGCCTTCTACACTGCCGCTCGCCTTGGTGAGGCGTGAGGGGTTTTGGGGGTCAAACAGGGTCTCCAGTTTTTGAGACCCACATGACGAAGTTCTAGACTCAACACCTCCAATGGAAGAACCTTCTGGAAGACCTTCCGCAGAGCCGCCGCTACAAATTCTTTCCGCGCAATGCATGTCTTAATTACAGCAGTAAGGTCTCTGGACTGGAATGTTGAATTGCCATTTGACCCCCCAATCTGATTCCCATTTACAATGTGCCAGATCCCCTCCAGCCAGGTCTGTAGATTCCTTCGGCCCGGTGAACTGGACTGTGGCTCCGGGCGAGTCTGGGCCTCACAGCTCAGCGATGCTTCGCGGCTCCAGATGCTTCGCGGTGCGAGCTCCTCACGCAAGAGACGAGAGTCCAAACAACATGCTCCCGTTCTCCAACAAATCCTCTCGTTGCAAAACGAGAGTCCCAAAAAAACCGCCTCCAATTGTGTCCACATGTTCTACCCTGGCAAAGGCCATGAATAGGTTCGACCAGCAAGACAAAGACACGACCACAGGTGTGAGCTATCGGCCCCTCCAAAACACCAAGGCAACGCTTTCACCAGCTTCTTTTACTTAAAGACCTCCAAAAGAAAAGATCGGCCATTGACACGAAGCTACTAGTAGCAAAGGGCATTTCTACTAAGAGCAAGAACGCTACTAGGGGCGCTCTTCTGGCCACTAGTAGAAACAAGAGGACGCTACGAACGGCATCGCTCCGATCCCACGAGCGGCAAGCGGCTCCGAGGCTCGATGGCTACCGGACGATCTGGAGGTCCCTGGAGCGGAGCGGCTTCGCGGACCCAGCGGCCGCCAAGGAGCGACAAAAGCCCGTTCGGAACGGGAATGACACATGCATAAAACAGGAACTAAGACTAGAGGGGGTTCCATTTTTCCCTTTTCATAGTTTTTGATGATTTTTTGGCCTGCATGAGAGGTTTAATTACAGTGTCGAGTCAGTCGTGTGTTTTTGCTTTTTGCGAAGGGGATTCACAACTGGGGCTGATTTTACATGTAGTTATCATATATATATATAGCATCATTCATATATATATATATATATTCCGAATACTCCTGACTTTCGACACTTGGATACTTTTCGGTGCAGGACAAACAGGTTTTGTGCATTTGATGCAGGATTTGCTCGAGCAATCCCAGTTGCCTGTATCAGACCTGTCCACGATCTATGCCATGTCTGATTTTGTACCTTGTCTATACAAGCAGCTCATTCATTCTTATCTTTTTTTTTCTCTCTCTCTCTCAATCTTGGGTTCGCGCAGACCAAGAGAGGTAGATAGAGAGAGAGAGAGAGAGACCCACACACACACACATTTATATGGTCCCTGTTGGCATCTACTGTAGTGTGATGTAATGTGGCATTCACTGTAATAAGCCAGTTGTTTGGCGGACAACAGCAGGTTGCACTGAGCATGCTGGGTTTCAAACTGAATACTGTAGCTCTGAGGATCATGATGGTCGGCTGTCTGAGCCGGAGTTCCTTTGCGCCATGGCAGGGGTCGTTGCTTTCGGTGCTGTCAGCTTTCAGTGAAGGTTGCCATTTCACCCTACCTTCAATATCTTCAAGCAACGTTTTTTGAATCCTGGGCAGGTCCAGCAGTTAGGTGTCAGTAGAAGAAACGTTTGGACGCTCTTTGCACATGGCTCAACATGGCTCAACATGGCTCAATGCACATTCTTCATGCCTTTTGACTGCTATCAGCCATTGGACAAGGAGCAAGGACGCTACTAGGGGCTCCTGGCCGTACTACTACGAGCAAGGACGCTACTAGGGGCTCGTGGCATCGCTAACTAGGAGCATTCTTACTACGAACGGAACAAGAGGACGCAAGAAGGCAGACGCTCACTCATTCGTTCCTGTCCGCTCACTCGGTGGCCAGGCCTTGGTCGCTCGCCGCCGCCAGGGCGCTGCTCTGCCGGAGTCAGTGCCGCAGGGTGCCCTTTTTGGGGACGGATGGAAATCAGTCTCATGTTCACATGAAACAAAGTCTTCACAGTCTTCTTGAAGAAGACTTCTGTTCACTAAACGTGTTTGATCACAATGATCTTCTCACAGTGTTTAAACACTCTTTCTTGCTCAAGCTATCTTTTTGCAAAGCCATTCGAGGCCTGAGCTGCGAGAGGTGCGCCACAGAGGGTCGAAGGAGCGTTTGGCAGCCCTTTTCATTGAATCTCACCGAATCCAGAGATTTACCGGATAGACATTCCACCATTCCACCACCTTTAATGCAATGATGACCACATACTGTAGGTTGTTTCAGTTGCAATTCGGAATGATTTCATCTAACCTTGCAACTTTCCTTGTGCAAGGCCTGCTGGTCGCAGCACGAAGAGGTGCAACCCCAGGTGCCGCATGCTGTATAACGACATTTCCCACCCACAACCAAACTCATTTTAAATTTAAGATCTATGAAGCCAAATGCGGTGAATCAAGGCAGGAGCTTGGACAAAGAAATCGAAGCTACTCCTTTCCAGCTTTGCATATTTCGCACTTTTTTAATACATAAGATCGAGCCATTAGTTTTCTGCTGGGAAAGGCAACCGCAACCTGGCAGCCGAACACTGAAGAACTGACCAGGCCAGGGTATACACGTATCACTCGGGCCAAGGACCTCGGCTCGACTCACCATCTTCTCAGAACGAGTTCACTACTTACAGGGTGTGCCCAACTTGTTCGGTTCCACGGAAGTCGAAAGTCCATTCCAGACAGAGGGTTGTTCACTTCCGCAGAGAGTTGGAGAGTCTGCTGTGCTTTGTCCGCAGGTTTCAGCAACTCTTCACTCAGCTCCAAGACTACGGCTACGTGTCGGCCGAGCGAGCACGAGAGGCGACACCCGAGCTGCAGATGGAACACACTGCAAGAGTAGGTTGAGGGAATGATGGCTTGAAACTGCTCTTCAAGAATGTACCATCCGACTTTGTAGTGAAGCCCCTGAGCGCATGGCGGCTTGTGCCAGGTTAGTGGTTTGTGCCTTTCAAGATTTTCAAGTCAGCAGTTTTATCATGGCTTTACATTTTTTTGTGTTTGGTGCATGCTATTTTTGTTTCACGCCAAGGGTGAATGCCCAATGCAAGAACTTCATGCTTCTATCTTTCCTGGCTCAAGATGAGAATCGTATGTGGCTTCATATGCCCAGGCCATCAGCGAACTCCTTGAACCATGGTAATCAAAAGCAGTCAGACGACGATCCATTGTGGACTGGATGCGCTCCCAAAGACACCCTGGAATTTGTCACTGTCACTCAGTTATGCAAGCAGTTGATGAAGATACCTTTGGAGCACCATCTGGACAAACAAACCATCTACTCGCGCCTCATCCGCAAATCTCAGCATGTATGCCATACACTTGGGCACGGTTTTTGCAATCCAGTGGCCCCAAACAGCTGTATATCCATGCGCATCAGACATACGGCACAGTTTGCTCTATTGTACCGCGGCCCGCGGATGCAGCCAACTCTACGCTTTGCCATTCAGGAGTGCAGGGTGATGTGTATCCAGCATGCTCATCAGTTTGAGGCTTAAGGTCAAAACCAAATAACGCTAGAATGAAGAAGGGTTTTGATTCATACTGAGTGTTGTAGTGTTGATGGACAAACTTCTGCACACATGAGTAGGAAGGATACGACCCACAGACAGGCGCTTTTGTTCCTTTGTCTGGAGCCGGAGTTTTTCAACATCGGTAACATCGGTGTATGCTTTGTGGGGCCTTTTGTGAGAAGCGACAAAGATCATACATATATATATATAATATATATATATATATGCCTGAAGAGGCTGAGCATCAACGGCAAGCATGGCAGGGTCTGTGCCTCAGAGATCAACCCCTTCCGTGTTGGCACTTACGAGGATTGGACAGCAAAAGGGAGGTGGTTTTGAGCATTGTCCAAGAACCACTGCAATGAATCTAGTGAGTTTGCAATGCAAAAAGCATTGCCAAATCATGAAAGTGGACCCATGACCTACCCAATCGACTGCTGGGGGTCAACTGCTGGGAGTCCTTTGACCATGTGAGGCGGACCATTCAGTTCATTGGCGGCGTGTTTATCCAGACGCTGGGGTCCACAGGGGCTGAGTTGCCTTGAAGTCTTCAGTGTACAAGTCAGCACCTGTTGAGCGCGCCTGCTCAGCCGAGTGCTCTGCATTTTGCCTTGGCACGAGGACACGGATGTATCTGAAGAAAGAAATGGAGCGCTACGGCGAAGTGGAGGCACACTGAATGGCTATTTGTAGGTGTGATTATTTGGGTCTTGGGGTCAACCATGGTTAAACCGACTCCAATGTTTCCTTTCACAGTTGGATGAGTAGCAGTATGTAACAGTCAGTCTACAGTAAGACACATTCAGTGTTCCAAGATTCACAGACGCTGCCGCTCACCGCTCACCGCTCTCGCTTGACCGCTGCCAGGTTTGCCACATGGGCAACCGAGATAAGCCAGAAGAAGAGCCTCCTTGGGTGCGTGGTCGCCTCGGCGAGATGGGCGACGTGCCCCCTTTCTAGCTTAGATTCTACATCAAGGCATGTGGAATAGATCATACATAGATGGTCTGGTAGGTCATGTACTGACATAGGTCACACTTTCTCACGGGTTCACGGGTCAAATGTCCACAATCTTTTGTTTGCATCCAATGTTGATCGGCCTGCTCCTTGAGAAAAGGGTTGCTGAGGTTTTCTGACCGAGAAGGCAGCGCAAGATGCGCTGGATGCCATCGAGAAAGGCAGGATTCCCTGGAGGTGTATTTTAAGGTCCAGCTTCACAAAGCTCCTGTTGGGGATGTGGACCTGCTGAGAAAGTTGAACTCTTTTGTATCTTTTGTTGGACACTTCTTAGCATGGCTGATTGCATTGAACCAATGCCAGATGTGGTGGACAGGTGAAGTTTATGTGGATGGCAATCAGCTGAAGGCGCCTGGCATGTTGGATCTGGTGGGCGATGTGTACAGCACAACTGAGGTTTGGGCTGGAAGAAAATATTCTCTGCTTTGAGGTATTCATATAACTTGAGGTGCAAGACGCTCGACAGTTGCAAGCCTTACTTAATGTAGTGAGAACGGACGTGGCTTTCTGGCTTTGTTGTGCCCATTCTTTTCAGAAGACACGAACTGTGAGAACTTTCAGTTGTAGTTTGCTTCAACCCTTTGAAGAATGGCCCCTGCCTGCACATCAAGGAACCACCCGTCAGGCACAATGGCGACCCGCCCGTGGGGGTCGGGGTGGACCACGCCCCCCGATGCCAGAGCGAGAGAAGGAACCTTCGCAGCAGCCCAAGTCTGACAACTATGAGCCAGGCCGCTTCAAAGCTTGCCCAACAAAAGTTCTTGTGATGTTCTGTTGAGTTGACTGGCTCCCACTAGATTCCAAACGCAGTGTGACAAAGTTGATCCTTGGCCATGGTGATAGGACATTGGAAACGTTGTCAAGATTGCATTTGACAAACAATAACCAAGTAGCAGCCCTGAACTATGGGATCACGAAGCTTTTTACTTCCTGGGATTGTTGCAGGGAATTGCTGTGTGTCTTGATCTTGGAGACAGCCCTAGGCATCGGCGGGACTTGGACTTTAGCTCCCGTGACATGATGCTGCAGGTGCTCTGAACCATTTGGCCAAAGATCCTTCACACAGCTCCACAGCCAAAGATTCGTCACAACGCACAAACTGTCAAAGTGTCAGCTTACAAACATGTTTGCGCTGCGGCCTGTGCCTGTTGCGGTCATCTTGATGAATTTCAGGCACGTGCAGCTGCCGGCAGGACGGGTCTTTAACGGGCGGTGGAAAAGGCTTCTCGGACTCTGCACACATCACAGGAAGCGTCTGTGTGGTGGAAAAGCCCCTTTGGATGGTTCATGGTTAGCTTCTTGTTACTAGATGTTACTAGTAGCTACTTGCTCCTAGTAGCGATGCCAGGAGCCCCTAGTAGCTTCTTGTTACTAGTGTGGTGGAAAATCCCCTTCGGATGGTTCATTGTTCATCCACCTAGCATGTTCAGGTTCGAATCGGGAAGCACGCAGGAATAGCCGCAGAGAGAGCCGCGGTCGCAGTGGCTCCCGCGATCGAAGGTGGGTGTTTCGCCTATTACAATCGATATTCGTTTGAGTCTGAGCACATACAGCATTAAAGAGCCTAGTAATTAGGACTCTCATGTCTAGTCTATGATTCAATCATGGCATCTCCAACCTAATAGCGATTTATAGCGATAACTTGCGCAGGCTACTTGATTCAATCAGGTGTCGCTCACACAAACGTGCCTTTACCAAGCCTAGCACCGAGCCTTGCGCAGGCGACGTCGGAGTCGGAGTCGCAGCCGCAGCCGCCGGGACCGGCGCCGGTGAGCGCCCTTTTCTCACCGAACTCGGTGGGTTTTTCGGTTCCAACGGGGTGGGAACGGCCGCATGGCAAGATCGAATACGTTAGGATAATCCAATTAATTGCCTTGGTTTGATGACCAAGTGCTTTCTATGTGCCCTTGTGAGCAGCTCAGTGCAAAGGTTTCAAAAAGGTTTGGCGTTGGACAAAAGTTGGACAGAAGTCTTAGCACTACCGAAGCTTGTTCTCTTGCCTACGACTAAACTCCTGAATGATTGTAATGCCTTCAATCATTCCTGTTGCCCATGCAGCATGTCGGTGTATGTTGTGTTGACATGATCCACTTAAGTGACTTGGTCCTGGCTGCAGGTGCTGGAAAGCTCCGGCCTCCCGCTGGATGACCTTGCGAAGGCTCGTAACGATGGATGGGTCCCTGTGGGTTCGGATTCTGCAGCTTTGCCCCATGGCTGACCAGTGGTTTTCGCATGATGTTCATTTTCTTTTGTGGCTCTTAGCATATCTATTTGAAAGACCTTTCGATCTCTTTCTCTTGGCATGCTTTTTTCCAGCCTCAGATTATTCTAGACATGTTTTGGGCATATGAGATCCTTTCGCTGTAGCTTGATCAAGTTAAGATCTCGCCAGATCTGGGACTTGGCAGATGCCGGAGATGATGGGAAGCTGGACTTGGGTGTGGTGTCCCAGAACATGCAACCTTAATCACTTAATCATGTCAAGTGCTGCAGAAGACTATGTACAGGTTTCAGCAGATGGTTCAACATGAAATAGAGTGGAGCGCGCGGTATTTGCAGAGCTTTGGAGCAGTTGCGCGACTTGGAGGTGAATTCTTTTGTGCCATGTCTCTGTCTGCCCGACGGCGAGAGGGTGCAAAACTCAGTGGCCCTCAGAGCGAGCTTTTTGGCAGTCGAGCATGCCCCGAGAGTCAAAACTCCAATGGTGAATAGGTTTTTATATCTTGCACTTGGATAAATCTTGGCATTCTTTCTGCATTCTTTCAGCGCCAGTAGCAGCAGCTAATATAACAATTCCACCGCAAATGCTACAAGAATGCTAGCCTAGTGCAATCCGTCTAAGTACAACCTAGACCTCAAAAGTATCCCCACCCTACACAGTCTTCAAAATACGGTGGACCCATCATGTTGAAACGAGACCTGCATGGGGCTGAAGCCAATCGGGAGAAGGATCATGACGGTTTCTCACTGATCCCTGCAAATATGCTTCCTAGAGAGGCATCCAGAGTGGTTCCTTTTCGGTTCCTCACAAGTTCACCCCCAAATAAGTGCAGGATGCTTTTCTGTAAGAGTATCGACTCTTGGGGCATTTGGGGAGCAGCCTCACGGCGAGGCCATGAGCTGCCGGACGCCATTCCCAATGAATTGCTGCCCTTCCTGAGGCAAATCGTTTGCACAGAATCTTTGCCTGATACATACATACGTGTTTGCAGCTTTTCTTGCTTTTCGGATGTGTCCAGAGCTGTTCTGTGTAGGCTTCTTTTCTTGCTGATGCTGCTTGAGATTCTGCTTTCGCGGTGTCGGACGTGCCTCCCGTGTTCGTGGCTAGAGCAAACTCTTACTTCCAGGCTGAGGGACACTGAGCAGGAGATGCAGAGGCCGGGACGTTTGCATAGGATTCAACATCTAAAAGTAACAGTAATAACAGTAATTCATTATATCCATTACATTCCATTGCCCTCAGCAGGTTGAGCTTACAAGGCCGAGAAACATGGGCAAAGGTGTTACGCATGAAGAAACTGCCTAAGTTGTCGGAGTCACGGCATGGTCTCGTTCATGGCCAGCGGGTGCCCAGGTATTTGGCGATTTTCCAGAAGTCGGTTCCCCGAGGCCATCAGGGCGCTCCAGGAACGGCAGTAGTTAGGGGATGTCAGGTCCAGGCTTCATGGTTGCGACCATTGGTGCTGGATTTCATCTCGCACCAAAAACCCTGCCAGGTGCTACCATGCCGTCTGATCGTGCGCGGGAGATCCTGGAGATGTGGAGCCCTCAAAACTATGCAACGCCACCTGTCACCTGAGGTCCAAGAGGGGAAAGGTGAAGAGTCCAATGAGTCTAATGGCAACCATTCCTTTACAGACGGCAGTGTGATGTGCTGAGGTCCGAGCTGCCACCTTCGGAGTTGGCTCAGATTTGGCTTGGACCTGAGGGCGAAGAGACCCACAGATGGACGAGCTTGGGCCACCTGGGGCTGTTAGACCATTTTGGGGGTGTCAACAGTGTAATCCCTTCGTTTTGTTCGATTGGTTCTGATGGGCAAACACCATCACCGATCGACTGGAGGAGGGTTCTCGACCGCCAGGCGCTTGTGCGGAGCCGGCGACGGCCTGGACCAGAACCAATTTCTATGTGCGATGGCCTTGACCGCCCGCCGCAGGTGCCGTGCGATTCGAAGTGAAGCAGAACACATGATTGAGTTGCAATGCTTGGCACGTTTCAGCTTAAAGTCTCTTGGGCTCTTGGGTCTTAGCCCGAGCGGCAAGCTGTTTCGACAAAGCACTCCAGTCACCCAGAAACAGCATGAGAGTGCAGGCAGGGACAGCCGCTGCCACCAGTGATGCCGCCGGATCTATTTCTTGCCGCTCAACTTGTGTAGCATTCGATCACAGAGATTGTCAGGTCGGCTGGAACATGCCGGAATCCTCAAGAACTCATAAGGACTCAGGAGAAGGAGACTAAAGGCTGGGTCGTGCCGTTCAGAACCCCAGACAAGAGCTTTAGACTGGCTGTCTAGAGTCGCGGAGATGCAGCAAGTGCAGAATTCATCAAGATCAGGGTGACTGGTCAAGATGGTAGCACAGCAACTGGCAACCAGCTGCTTTGCAGATAGAGCTCCCTTTGGATTGAATAAAGAGCTCAGCTCCATTCCACCGTGACTCTTAAAGGGAAAGACTCGGACAGTCATTTTAACATTCTTTCCAGAGAGAGGTCTTTTACAGGTCTGGCACGGAGATACCGGTCAGCCGCAAAGAGTGCCAGCGCTGATCCATTCGGCGTGCTGAGCAAGCAACATGTTCAGGTTACACTAGCCACAACGGCAACTGAATACTACGTTCTTCTGTGCTCATACACAATCAATCTTTTTGTCCTTTTGCATGGCTCAGAATTGAAACATGGCCACATTAGACCACAATGAGTGAGGCCACTGTTTGCATCAACCTTGCAATGCAGAGATTTGGAGAGCACAAACGAAAATACCGTCATCGAATGGAGTCAGGAACAGCTTTTGCCAAACAGTTCAGCTTAGAAATTCGAAGGACCATTTGAAGGGACACGGTGACACACATCGCGCCCGCCGTGCGTCATGGGCGACATCAGCACGACGTGGACGTGGGATGTTCCGGCAGCGTATGACGCATGACCGGTCAAGCTGCGTTCTATGAAGTGAGACAGATTTCTTTGCTCTTTTTCGCCTTCCTCTTCCTGCCGGCCTCAAGCACGAACAGAGGGGTTTGCTACCCCGATGACAGCATACAGAGTAGCAGTAACTATCAATGCCAGGCTTTTAGCTATTGTCGGAACCAAAACCGGGCAATCAATAAGGGAACAATGACTCTGGCATCCTGCAACTTGACTTAAGACACATGTAACGTTCCTCCCTTAGTTGTAGGATTTGCATGTGTCGATTTACTTTCAAACAACAACCTGCTAGGTGACACAATTCTACGCCTTTTCATGCCTTTTCAAGCAATTTGAACGACTCTTCACTCTCAGTTTCAGCCTTTTGTGTTTTTCCTGTCTTCTCTGTGAGGTATGGATGAGTGTGACAGGATCAACTGTGAATCGATCCAGTTTGATTGCAACACCGACTGCTTTCTTCTGGAAGAGGGCTGTGGTCAGCTCATCCCCACCAGTTGTGGCAGCAGTGTGTACCATAGGGTAACCACAACCACTACCACGACCACCACCAGAGCGAGCAATTGCTTTCCGGGTATACCGGGTATGCTTGGTGGGGAACCAGGGCAGCTCGGTGGAAGAGTGTGTGGAGACATGTAGATGTCTGAATCTTAAGGTTAGCCTAGCAAGCTAGACCAGCTTGTCTGCAAACTTGCCCAAAGTCAATGTCAGTGTAAGCCCCTGTCAGCATTTTCAGTTACTAGTTGATAGTCTTGGTTTCTCCTCGTGTAGTTGAATTCTGATTGGGCCCGAACCTCAAGGTCACAGTAAACGCAGCCTGTTCGCGCCCCAAACATGTGAAAGGAAGGGCGTAAATGTCATTAAATGTCTAGTAATTATATAGTTGATCAAAAGACTTCAACAGGTCCTTACAAAAAGGCTTAACGTCATCGAGCCTGTATTGTTGGCAATTTAACATTAGCAAAAACTTTGGGCCTTGAAAGGCAGCTTAACTCGCGCCATTTGTTCGAAAGTTTGGGGCGAAGGTGAAAGCCGACAGACCCCCTGCCCAACATGTTGAAGGATTGATTTCAAGACAAGGGACTTGCTGTAGCCGATCTGAGTGTAGGCAACGCCAACCACGGACAGACACAGGAACATGGAGCCTTGAACAGAATGTGTTTTTTTGTGCTCATGCAGGTATTAAGATGTACTGTATTAAGGACAAGACCAAGAAGACTTCTAAGATTATACCCTGAATAGTCAAAAGGATTTCGCGAAAGTAAAGATTCGTTTTGCAAAAAATACCGTTCCATCAACAATAACCATGTGCATACATATAAGCACTGGAATTCAATCCCCAACAGTGACAGGACTCTCCTGTCTGGACATGTCCTCCCAGAGTTCTGCAGGTTTCAATGTGCGAGCTTCTCTTACTGCGGCAATGAGCACGATGCTCACAAACTGGGGCGGATGTCCTTGGCGGCGTGTTTGGCTCAATGCAACGAGCAAGCCAATTGCAGAGCAGTACAGTATGCCTCTCGTCCTCGTGCATGTCGTCGGCCCACACAATTGGGACGTATGACAGCCTCCCGTGCTAATTAGTGTGCCATGTGGCGGTAAATATGTTGGTTGTTTTGTCAGCGGCCAGCAATCCTGGAAGGGCAAAGTCTAATTTGGCCAGCAATCCGCTTGACGCCTTGCACCTTTGCGTCCCCTCTCGTATCAAGGGATATAGTTCCAAGAAGACTGAGACCCTCTCTTATCATAGAAATGGATCAGAGGAGAGAAAGCATAACTCAGACTCAGATGGTTTTGGCGAAGTCCACTATATCTACGAAAATCCTACTATCATAGTCATTTTCTTTGAACGATTTATTTTCTCCAAGGACTGCGGCACTGAATGCTGGCTGCTTCCAAGTTGTGAGACTCTTTTGCCTGACAATTGGTGTGGCAGCAGCACCTACTTGAAGGCTTGCCGGGCTTGCGGGGCTCGCCTGTCTGTGTGAAGGGACCAGTATGCACCAGTCATGACAGTTCTGTTTGTACGACTGACCCGTGTAGTTCCACCTTTCCACCGCCCGAACATGCCGCGCGCGTCCCGATGAGGAGACCACCTTGACAACGACGGAGCTTGGGAGATGTTGGCCCAACAACGTCACATCCATGGACGACTTCAGGTGGGACTTCCCGCCGGCCCTAAGGACTTGGCACTCCGACATATAGCACTGATGGCTAGACTGTTCGGATCGAAGCAAGGTCACGACTCCAAGGTGGCATGTTCAACGACCAGTTTTGACCTCCAAAGTGGATCTCATGTGCTCATCCGGACGCTCGCTTCCACTGCGAGGTGCACCTCCGGACGGTACTGTGCCGAACAAGCATTCGGCACGAACTATTCGGATATGTCTCTGGAGCAATGTGCCGCACTGTGCCAAGCAAAAGGCTGCTCTTACATCCAGTATGATTGCAACAAGGCGAGATGCAATTCGACAATTTTTGCGCAAGTTGGCGCAGTCTAATGACTAGACAGAATTTGGTGTTGATTTGCGAGAATCTGACCTTTGAGGCTTTCCGAACAATTTGTTGTCATAGACTTGCGATCAGCTGGCAAAGTAGTATCATCATTCGCTTTGGTGTACAGTAAATATAGTGTAGTTTGGGTCTGTCAGATCTTGCTCCAGGTGTTTGGTTGAAGGGCAGGACCAAAGAGTTTGCTGGTAGGTTGGCCGCAGAGGCATTGCTCAACTCTTCTTTCTTGACCAATTTGCGAGGCTTGCATATTGCTGGCTTCTTGCACGCCAATACCAACAGGTTCATCAAGATGTCGGGGTTGCGGTTCGGGTTGAAGCCAGCCTCAAAACAGATGCATTGCTCCCAAAATGTTGAGTGAGACAAAATCATTCCTAGAGAAGCACACCGGAACAACTACAAGCGTGTTACTGTACATTTATATATGTGAGTGCGAGAGAATCCATGGAGACATTCTGGAACACCGAATATGATTTTCATGTTTTCACCATGGCCTGGGCAGATTGTGGCAGCAGCATCTATTATCGCACCGCCAACAACCTGCACTACACTGCCCAGCCCTATGGCGCAGGAGAGGGGCTTTGCACCAGACCTAGCAAGGGAGAAATGGCATCAAACTTGCCCGAAAAGTGGACCAAGAAGCAATGACATGAGAAGCTCTTGATTCATGTTGCTTCTGAATTTTGTCCAGCTGCTGTTGAACATGCTAAGCACGCCGTGGTTCTAGAGGAAGATACGTGGTTCACAGTGCCGCTTGCGACAGCTGCACTATGCAAGCGGACTGCCCCTGGGGCACCTCGCCCATTGGTTGCGAGATGATTCCACCGGGCCGCCATGGGCGGGTACTGGAAGCTGCTTGGAAAAATGGAACGCCAACAAACACACCGGAGAGAGGGAAAGACACAAGAAACAACAAAGCAAGTGCAAAGTTGTCAGCAGGTTCATATAGGGTAGGACACAAATGCCCAACATAAACATATCTGCACCTGATCACTCCAAGTGTTTTGCTGCAGGTGACAGGCCAGTCATGTAAAGCCCGGCCGAGCACAAGCACTGACTTCGGCTTGGCGGAAGTGATTTGTAGCTCTCAGATGGAGACTTTCTCCAAGGAGAGCGTGCCTAAGTGTCTATAGTTGAGCTTAGTCTAGTTGCCCTGAGTCATCATGCGTATATAACTGCCTAAGTGCTTATCATGGAGCCATAGAGCAGTTTTGGAGCTGCTTGGTGCTGTTGGACGAGTCCGTCCAGTGATACATTTTAATGCATTGTTGGGTGGGGTTGGAGCGGAACATCCGCAGATTTCATAAGAACTTCCTTGGCTCCGAATCTGCAAATGTTTTCCGTGGGAACATCGCTGTTTGCGCAGTACAATCGCTTCAGCGAGCGGAATCTTTGCGGAGATGGCGCAGCGTTGGCTTGCTACTGCACGCAGTCGCAGGTGGGGGGTTTGAACGGCAGGTCTGCCAGGTAGACCTTTTCGCTGTATTAGTAGTAACAAGAACGCTACTAGGGGCTCCTGGCCTTACTACTAGGAGCAAGGACGCCACTAGGAGCAAAGGGCATCGCTACTAGAAGCAAGAACGCTACTAGGGGCGACATGGCAATTACATGTTTCCCGAGCTAGTCGATGCACACTTCCCGAGTTTGCAGTGTCAGAGCGCGTTCACGGGACAAGGCCAATTGCCAACAGCTGCCGACGAGCAGTTTTGGTGAGCCTGCTCGATGTGCTCTTGGACAATGGGCGTTGTGCTGGGAAGGCCGATAGTTGTCCGAAACGGAGATATGAGATATGACTTGGCGAGACCTTCACTCCCCTTTGCTTCGTTCCGATCATCGGTTGGTCACCATCAGGTTCGAATCGCATAATTTTGCAACTTGGATAAACCCGTGCGCCCCAGACTCCCTGAACAAGGTCCGACAGAGCTTCACACAACTACAACGGCTTTTGAGAAAGGTTCATTAACAACTAGAGTGGAGGCCATTGCTATTAGGTTGGAGGCCATCGCTACTAGGGTGGAGGCCATTACTACTAGGGTGGAGGCCATCGGTTCTGTAACAACACCCGCAGGGCCCAGGGCTGTAATATTTGTTCAATAGGGGAGCATCCGCATGCTGGACTCATGTGTAGGCCCATTATATAATTTGCATTAAAGTAAGGGTATTTCGAGCTTTCATTTCTCTTGTGATGCTTAAATTCAGTCTCTTGGCCACGTGCAGGTGAAGAAAGCTATACCATCAAGAATGTTGGGTACATCGCACTTGCAAACAGCCTCAGCTGGTGTGGGTGGGCCAATCTGCAGCAGAGAGATGATGCAGATTGTAGACATGTAATGCAGGATACACGGGATACAGTCATGGGCCTGGGGGGATACAGTCATGGTGTTTGAGAATTCCCAGTGAACTTCCCAGTGATCTGATTTACTGTAGATTAGTGGAAGGCAAGTATTGAAAAAGCCCGTGGTTGATGTGTGCACAGGAGCATTCAGATGAGCATGTCGGTGGGTGTCGCAGCAACGAATGCATTGATTTGGCAGATTGTGTCCAGAAATGCGAAGCATGCAACAGTTGCACAGGCGTATTGCGACTTGTATGCACTTTGCAACTTGTTGCTCTGTCTATGTTTGGTTGACTCTTGAAGTAAGGGTTTGCAGCATAGAAACCAGGTGGCCGTGCTCTTGCCCAGGTATTTTCCACGTGAGCAGGGTCTTGATGAATATTCCAACAACATGCGCTGCTACATGCAAAGGAGCAATGTCACAGGTAGCATTTCAGCACAGGGTCCTACGATGAATCAGCCAAGTGTCTATGTGAATAGCAGGAATGCAGGATGTTCCATAGACCACAGCATCAAAGGCATTAGATTCTTCCGAGATAGCGACTGCATAGACCCTGTGTACCCGACCAGCATTGCTGACCACAATGGCCACGTATTGCCTTCAAGCTGGCTGAAGTATCCAGGAGCCTACCAGCCCTGTACACACTGCTCAAATATCGCTTTCACAGCGCGGTTCGACAGCGCCACTCCGGTACTTTGTGCTGTTGTGCACTCCACACCAGGATTTGAACAGGGGTGGGAATTGTATGCAGGAACAGGAGATCATCCAATAGCGACTTCCAAGCAGGGAGCTGCTGTGACTTACAACAAAGTGGATTTTGTAGCCGGTAGTACCGTAGTGTTTACAGGGAGCTTGACTGTGCGGTACGAAGGGGAGTTCTCCACTGCTTCTTTGGCTGTGGCTCTGGCCAAGCTGCTTCTCTTGCCCTTGCACACGGTACAACTTCAGCGCTCCAGACGCCTGAGCACCCGACGGGTGCAGACCTTGTCCGAACGTTGCGACTATTCAATCCAGTTTTTGGACTCCACCGGAACTCTTCACAAGAGCGTGGAAGCCACTTTGAAGGCGAAGGGAACATGGATGAAGACCGAACATGATCGATTGGCTAGACGCGATTTAGTTACTGTAGGTGATTCCTAGAGTTGAATGGTTGTGGGATATGATCATGATCCACTTCTAGGAATCTCTGGGGTATAGATTTCGTCCTAATTTTCTCTCCGCGGACTCTTGCCTGAGTTCTGCCGGCAGGTTCTGCAGAGCGACCCAGGACAGTTGAACATGCCTTTGCTCTTCAACTTGCAGATAGCTATCACGGACATGACTGAAATGCAGAGGGAGATCATCCCGTCGACCTCTACGACTACAACAATGACTCCACTGTCTTTTCAACTGGTTCGAAAGCATGAGTGGGATGAGTCTCCTGATCTTGCTTCACAGGCAGACGGATTTGAAAAAGGTTGAGAGGTGGTGCAAAGAGCACTTCCAAAGGACATCTCCGAGCATAGCTAAGCATAGCAACAGAATTGTGCGCATTGTGAAAGTTGAGCGGTTGACCTTTGCCTTGGAGGTGTTCACGGCCCTTGGGGTCAGCCTCGCTGTGGTAGGAGGTCCGGTCGTTCTGTGCCGAGCTAAGACACGGCCAGAAGCACTCGCTAAGAGAGTTGCAAAGATTGAGCAGGAACACTCTAGCAATTTGCATCCATGATCCAGGGGGTTTAGCAAACAGTGTAAGTTAGGTTCATGCTGACGGAATTGGCTGGTCGCTCAAGTCGATGCTATGTTGATGCTGCTCATGCTATCTAAACACTTGGCAGAGTCGGAGCTGAGGTGGAAACTTTACCAGTTTCTGCGTCAAGGGCCGCAGCACCATCCCAAGACATCCAGTGGTATCATCATTGGCGCTCTTCGCACCACACGGTGTGAGACGGAGGAGGATCTACAACCGTTGACCCCTACAGCGGCGCAGAGTCTTCCCTCGTATTGGAGCACCACAGGAATCGAAGTAGACTTTTCAAACCCGCTGGACAGGAGGACTAGGGAGTCTCAAAGGTTGCATGTTAAGCGACTCACGGGGTTCTCGTTTTTCATGAGAATGAATGATACTATATGTTTCCTTATCCAGAATCGATCGCTTCTGACAAGATAAAGAGGATTTTGGGAGGGAGGAGCACCTCATTGTATGATTTCTGGTGTTCTTCCTCCGCCTCGCAGGAAATTGGCCTTTGAAGAATTGGCCTATGTGCCGCAGCGGCAGACCTGCTTGGACCTGTAGGATCCAGGATCCAACGGAAGATCTCGGGGCGTAGGACTCCAACAGCAGTAGCATGTGGTAGTCTAGTAGGTCGCGCTAGGTCCCGGTAGGCGTGTTCTGTGAGTCAGGTGAAGCACGAGCACCTGCAGCAGTTTCAAAATCTGGTGAACCACACATACAAAGCTATTCCAACACAGGACTGAGATGTGGAATACCTAGCAACATTATCATGTTGAATGCATGAGTTGGTCAAGCTTTGGACTTTGCGAAAGACTTCTACTTGCAGGCCTGTTTGACTCCAAAAGAGAAATGACCTGGAGATCAACCCTACTTGAACGAAGAGATTTGCTGGATCTTTCCCAAATGCGCCAGGACCGTTTATGTCCAACAGGGATGCACGGCAAGGTTCGTGGTGGATGCCCATGCGTGCAACCCGGTGGAAAGCCAGGTCTTCCAACAGGCACAAAACCAGGGCAAAGGTTTGGCTCACCCGTTTGAATGACCGACCAGGGGAGAATCAGTATAATTCAGGTAAGTAAGTCTAGTTTTGCTCTACCGGGGTGCGAATGCATAGCAACAAATATATACAAAAATATAGTCATGTTTCTTAAGTGCATCAATTGGTGACTGATAATTACTTGTGGAGCAAACCGGTTCCCGCTGTTTCCTTGATCACAGCCCGGAGGCTTTCAGGTGAAGCGTGTGATTCGAGTTGAAGATTCAGACATGTTCAACAGACACTTGGCTTTAGTTTGAGAGCTTTCCAGAGCACTTACAGCTTCCAACTTGATGCATCGATGCAATGAAGGTTGGGGTGCTGCATCAATGGTTCTCGGAAGACTTGAAGCGATCAAGTGTCAGCATGGAGAGTTGTACATTTGCACCCGAGGATATATCTTTCGCCGAGACACCATCAAAGCGACCCGTGGCAAATGCGATGCCCCGGGCTCCTCATTCTTAACTCATGAAGCAATTGACAAATTCCAAGGACGGGCAACACCGCTCGATCACTGCACTGTCACTGCTTGTGGGTCGATACTTTCTGTGAAGGAAAGAAGACTGCACCCATAGCATAAAGATCAGAAGCACCAAATAGCAACAGCTTGTTTGAGGTTGGGGATTAGCAAGAGCTGGCAGGTTCGAGATAAGCGCACTGGTCCCAGAAGCAAGTGGATTGGTCTCATTCTGCGAAGCGTGAAGGGGCTAACACATCCTATTATATAGACCGTTTTTGATTTCAGGGGATGAAAAGGGTGCGCAGGTTGAGCTCCTTAGACACAAGCACGCAGGTTTGAAGGAGATAGTGGCATCGCTGGACTTGGAGCTCAATGAGGCTTATTTGTGGCACGGCACACAAGTGAGAACAGGTCTGCAGATCGCGCAGGCGCATCCCACCATAGCTTTTGCAGCTGGCCCTGGCGAAGTTTTGATGGTCACTATATATGTATTTCCTTCTCTTTTGAAGACGATCTTGCACATGGGATCACTGTCTTAGTTTTCGATATTGTTGGCAGAATCCTCTATTTGTTGTTGGCTCCTTTTATATAAGTCCTGGCTCTGCCTCCAGGAGGACTTCAACATGGCTTTTGCTGGCTCTGGAGCTGGAACGATGTATGGCAAGGGCTTGTATTTCTCTGACTCTTTGACGGTTAGGACATGAAAGGAAGATGCCCGAGGTCGGTCCACGCCAAGCTGGGTACCAACCTATCCTTTCCGAATTAGATGCCGGGATCCTTTTTGCATGAAGATACGGGTTACTTTGGCTTTGTTCGCTTTGGGAGCCATTTGAGGAGAGCTGCACCAAAGCTGATGAATACAGCAGGGATGAGCCTAGGGGATACTATGACAGCGTGCGAGCTCTTCTCTTATGCCGAGTTTGCATGGGCCAGTTCTACTACACAGCCGACCGGGAGCTGAGATTGGGAACCATTTTGCCAGTAGTGCAAAAAGTGATATATTGAGCTGCGAAAAAGTGATAACCTGTTGTGTGAGAAGATCTTTTTCTTGTTTTTATTGAACCCATATGACTCCATGCTCAATTTTGCATTGGTCCCATCCTGGTTTTGTGTTGAGTTGTCCTCTTGGTGCCCGATTTCACAACTATTGTCAACTCATTGTCATTGCTATCTTCTTGTCAAAGCTATCGAAGCATTGTCATCCTTGTGACAAGCATTGTTCATGTTCAAAACATGTGCTCGTCCTTGTTTCTTTTGGGAGAGGCTGTCACATGTGGTCACCATATCGATCACATGTTGTCACTATGTTGTTTGGCTGTTTGTGGTATCCCCAGTTCAGGACGTTCAACAGCTTGTAGACCAGACTTCTTCAGGGGCACAGCCTCTCAAATCAACCACCAGACTGCCGTGACGTCACAAACGGAAAAGTACCACCGAGCCCTCAGCAAAAGAAACCTCCAAAGACGCGTTTAGAACCCATAAGCTGTGCAGTATGATGCAGTATGTATATAAATGCAACATGTGCTTTGTGACTGTTTGGAGCTGCCGTTTTGAAGACATGTTGCGACAGCATATCATTTCTCCAAACTGCACAGCCGACAAAAAACTGTTCGCGCCACGTAGGAGTCCAGCGCCATAGAGAAGTATCTTAGTGGCGTATCTGACAGCACACTGGGAGACCGTGCAAGTGCAGTGGGCACCTACCGCGAGTTCGTGGCGCCCCGGCTTGAACAACATCGAAATTGAGTTCCATTTGACTGCGAGGAAGAAATCAATCCGTGGTTGTTCAGTTGTTTTCAGCAGTTGAGCTGGGCTTCTTTGCGCGACACAGCCACGGGACAGCCGCGGTGATTCGGTCTAAGGTCTATCACCCGGACCAGGTCTATCCGGAGTATTTGGTGCTTTATGAGCGCTTACACGGCACCCGGCCTCCCGAGCCGCCACCAAAGGATATGCCGTTCTTACTGGAGCTGCCTTTGTATTGGAAGAATGTGGGGAAGAATCCGCGCATTCAGGACAGCAAAACAATCTCATTTCCGAGAGCTGTGCAAGCTGGCTCATCCTCCCAGAATCCTAGAACCCTCGGAATGCCTCACTCATTTTTGTTTTGGAATCTTGCAAGAAAGCAAGACGGGAAACAGGGTTTCACGGCTTGCATTTGCTTTTCCATTTGTTTCCTCTAAAGGGTTTCACTCCTGCAGGAGTTTCGAGAACATTGGCAGGTAAAGCAAAAGATCACCAAGCTGATCTATCGTATGGCATTGCATACCTCAGAGAACATGTGCCCCAAGGTTCGCTAAACGAGTTTACTTGCACGACCCGACAGGGTTTTCAGATCCGATGCCTTGGATCGGGGCAGCCTGGGGCGGAAACCGACCGACCCGGAACCAGGTCCAACGAGTGAAGCGAGTCGAAGATTCGGTGCTTTGGTGCAAATATATGAATTGGAAGAAGCAGCTCTCCCAAGAGCTGAGCAAAAGAAAGATCGATCGATGTAAACCACCCAACGTGCCCGGGATGCAGGTGAGACCAGTGAATCAAGTTAAGCCGAAGTTTGTTAGTTTGAAGTTCATCAAGCAATCGTCAAGCTTCCCTTATCCAATGTTAAGAGCATAGCAATGTTGCATTGGTGGCACTCAGGAGCTTGATGGAAATCCCAATAGTGGCCATGTCTTGACTGGGGAGATCCAAGCAGAGCATGATGGTGACGAGGAGATTGCTGTCAATTCGATTGTGCTGGGTGAACAACTATGCAAAGCAGTGGGATATATGCAGGTTGTAATGTTACATTATATATAAGAGAACGTGTATGTACTATACATACGCAACATTTTAAACATCATGTACATCTTACGCGATAGCTGATCTATTGTTGTGGCTGTCAGAGTCAGAAGCATTTGACCATCCCCAACCAAAGCTTGGCAGCTATCATCTTTACTTTGCAAGGTGAACACTCCCCAAACGGTGCTGCTTGATGGAGATCGGCATCAGACCACCAAAGTCCTTGACTTTTCCATAATCAAGCGGGCCAGCATTTTAGCGTGGAACCCCCTTTCTTGTTTCGTTAGTTTTCTTCTCCCTGACCTGGGGCGAGAACGTTCCTTGCCACGCGGGAGGCCATCAGCTTGGAGAACATGGTCCCTGGGCTCAACGAGCTCCTTTTGTGGCACGGCACTAGCCGCGAGGCGGCCGCCGCTATCGCCAGCGATGGGACACTCGGTGGAAGGCTGTGATTGGTAACCAGAGAATAGCTTTTCAATGGACTTCAATGGTACAGATTTTTCTGTCACAAGACCTGAGAGGGCACCCCCCATCACCCACCATCCTTTCCTTTTCATCTTCATAATCATTTATTGTGCTGATTGCAGCCATTTAATTAATGATTGATGGTTTCGCGGTGTAAAGGCTTTGTATAGTCAAAAGAAGTCGAGAACCATTTGTAAGCCAATGTACCCTTCCAAGGTTCATTCTGAATCCCAGTGCTTTGCACGGCCGCCGCTTTGGTAATGGTGTCTACCTGGCGGAAGATCTCCGGAAGAGTATGAGTGGGGCACTGATTTGCTGAAGCTCAGAGGGGGCCAATCATCTCCTCAGTTTGAACATGAGCGAAGACAGACTTGATAGCCCCTGTTTCGACGACTTGACATGATGTGTTGTTGAAGATTTTTCACACGCCCTGGCTGTGAAATCGTATTTTGAGGGCCTATAGATGCCTATGCCTTGCAGCATCTCAGCCCCTTTTCAGCCATCCTCCAGAAACGCCTGCTCTCAGGCTACTGCAAGGAATCGGAGGGTGTCCTTCACGTCCTCTTGTGTCGTGCCGTTTGTGGCGAGATCTTCTACACCGAGAAGGATCGACACGTAGATGCCCCCGACGAGGCCAAAGCAGCGAAGAAGCAATCGGTGCTGGCCAATCCTGGGAAGGTTCGGCACACCGGTGCAATGGGGGAGCCCGGTGGGGAAGGAGGATGTCTGCCAGATGTCGACTCCAAAAGCGACAGGTCAGACATTGTAAAAAATGGTCCAGACATCAAACTCAAGGGAAAGGAGCGCGCACGCCTGCCAGAGTGCAGCAAATAGACTCAGATAGGGATCTCTCAACAGGCTTTGTGTTCGACGTGAACACTGAAAAATGTGATTCTTTGACCCAGTGATGCCCAGTGCATTCATTGCAGTAGAGGTGTCTCGATACTAGTTATCGCTTGCTTTCGCTGAGGCCCTGCGTAAAGAAAAAATACTAAAGGAAGCAAGCGAAGCGTCGTTGAATGTGATATGTGATATATATATATATGTCTGATTCAGTGGTGAAACTGCAGTTTCACGAACAGAGCGCACTGCAGTTTCTTTGGGGTCCAAGAACCTGTTTGCACTTCACGAGTCGAGCCATTAAGACAGCTTGACCTGGCGGCCACAGCCAGGCCAAGTGGCTTTTAGTGCAAAACACATGATATCACTCACATCACTTATCATGTTTCCGAACATCACCAGATTCTAGAGTCTCCCTCTCACGAGTGCCTATGCCACAGGTCACAATGTCCCAAACTGGGCAGACTCTAAATTAGGATGCTTGAAATCGAGCTTGACTCAGAGCCACATTGTGTGGATAGGGCGGGGATTCAGCCGCTGTTCTCGACGTCAGGTGGGCCCAAGGGAGTACATCCTCTTCGAGACCGCACAAGTCTATCCTGAGTACATCGTCGAATTTGTGACTAGAATGACGGAGTAAGTTGCTTGACATCTTAAGATGCAACTTCTCAATTTTCTGAATCTAGCTGCGAAGGTTGCTGTGATTCCAGTACTTTAGAGGCTTATACTTATAGTAAATGACCCTGAGCTGCTTCCTACTGGCCACGTGACAGTTGTCAATGTGGGCTTTTGTCAACGTGGTCTTTTTGTCAGGGAAGAGCCCTCCCAGACTCCCAGACTCGGCGCGACCGCCGCGACTTGGGGCCTTGACCCCCGACCAAGTCGGTGATGATAGGCTCCAAGGTTCCAATCGACATCGTCTGGAAAAGAGCTTTCGCGAGAGTGGCAGTCGGTGCAAGTGGTTTTTGCCAGCGTCACACGCATCGTCAGCTACACATGGTCAATTGTTGGAAGGACCATGGGGGACCTTCACCAAATCGATTGAGTTTTCACTGAATTTCCCATGTTGTTTGGTTGCAGGTGTGCCTTGAAGAAACGCTTGAGAACTTGAGCAGTTGATGTGCTCAAATGGATCCAAAGTAGCAAGTTCGAGGCCAACATGTTGAAACATGCTGCGGCCTCGGCAATTGTGTGACTGTCTCGAATAAACTTCGATGCCCTTGAGTGGAAGTTCACCCCAATGTGCTTCAATCCGGGCTGACCATTCACCCATGCTCTTTTGTCCAACAGGCTGTTTGTTTTGTAAATGTTTGTGCTTCTATCGATACTGACAGAAGCACACTTCGAATCCAAGAATCTATGGAACACAGACTAACATCAGTGGATTAGTATGCACATGTATGCACTATAAATACAATTAAATACACATATGAAAAAACACTGACCCTGCTACCCTTCCCAAAGAGTTTCGTCTCTGGGTGCACGTCGACTGCCTCAGCTCCCCCCCGTCGCCGAGGCATTGAGTCCATGGACCGGGCGCGCGGCGGGCGCGCTGCGCCGGAGGCTCCCCGCGTGGTCCCGGCGCGTGGACATCCGGACATTCAGTAGCCTCCAGGAAGGCTACTCGGAGTGATAGGTTTGAGAAGGGCAGGGATATGTGGAAAAGCCATTGGAAGGGGAAGGTCTTGATGCTTCTTGAGGTGCTTTTGGGTTGCAAGAGCTTTTGGATTAGAGATGCTTGGAGGGTGCTTCTTGGCACATCTGATTGCGCACTGAGGCAAAAAGAAGAAGCCGGTTGCCTTGGAGACTGTAGTCCCTCGGGACGGTTCTCGTGACGATCTCAAAATTCTTCCTAGTGATCCTGAAGGCTTGAAGCGCCTTGGTGGAAGTTCCACGTGCCCTCCGGTCAGAATTTGCATGTGATGGCCTGTGTACAATGCCTGAAATGTTTTGAAGAATGCCAAATGAAATCAAATAAAGAATGCAGCTCCCTGCTTTCAACACCATAAAGGGCAGGGCAGAAAACGGTGTGCCCAGCTGCCCCACCGCCACCGGACCTCGCTTCTGCGCTGAGGTTGAAGGTGCGTTCGCTGGGTAGCATCACTCTCGAAGACCAGAACCGCTTTGTGCAAAAAGTGAACGATCATGGAGCCGCAGTTCTGGTGCCCGAAGAGGAGGGCGACCCTTTGGCGGTTTACAAGACGTTGGACCGGTGGTTTGGCAACTGTATTCCACACGATGCGATGAACGAGCATGGCATCGTGGAGATCAATCCCGCAAATCCCACCAGCATCAACACGGCGAATCCGAAGAAGGAACACCTGCCACACACCGATGATGCCTACACTGACAGTCCTGCTGCGCTTCTAAGCCTTGCTTATTCTTGCTGATTGCATCTTCTTATATCTTATTTGCTGATTTTCATTTTTCTCTTATTTAGGAGCATTGCACCCGTGTTGTTCATCAAGTGAGCAGTAAGGCATGGGCGCTGCCTGTTAGTTGCTAGAGATACCCTCATGCAGCATATGTGTGTATGACCTTACATAGTTCCCCGAACAAAGGTTTTGGTGTACAGATTCTGGACACCACCTCTTTGCATACAAGGGGAACATGTTCACTGTACGTATGGGGGGATGACATGATGACATATACTGTATATGTACACTTATACATGTATTTATATATATGATATGATATAACTACACACACACATACACGCAAAAAGAGAGAGAGAGAGAGAGATGCACATGCATACATGCAGTTGGCACGGCCTGACTTGCTGAGATATCTAGGTTTTAGATATATCATTATACACCTAAGATATTGCTCTTGATCCAGAGGATACCTTATACATATACATATATATATATACATACACATATATGTATATATGGGGAGGGTTAGACTTTGGAACCAGGGCACGAGTAGCAAAGAAGAGTCGTGAAGACTTTTCAATCGTTGTCATTCAATTCCCAAATGTTCAGCACATTCAACACTTGGGGTTTCCAACTTATAAGCATTTCTGATTTCTTCATGCCAACTTCTTCCGTTCTACCACATTAAGGGGAATTATGCTGAAAGCCTGTGTTTGATAGATCTATAGTTGTGTGTGTGCGTTTCGAAACAATCCAAAGTTCCCGAATAACATCATCACGTAGAATTGATTGAACATTTAGGTAGAATTGAATCGTTTTTGTGATTCTTTTTAGGCGTTTGCACGAAAGATTGTTCAGACAGTTCTTTTAGATAGTTCTGATGCTGTCATGTCTTTTGATGCTTTGCTTTCTTTTTTTGTACTGATGTAGTTTGTCAGTCTTTCTCCTCAAGTAACCTCTGATGTAGTGCTCATGGAAACTATCAGTCACGTCATCACTTTTGTCTGAACAACTTGTCTTTAGTCAAGTCAAGTATCTATACTGAGTTGGTGCCATCCATATGAAATTCCTGTATTTTGTCATTGAGAACTGATTGTAATCAAGAATGGTTGCATCGCCTTCTATACTGCCTTGTGCAGAGTGGCACGTGGAACAGGAAGGAAATAGAACAACTTCTCACTTTATCTATGCATATTGATTGAAGCCTACATGTTTTGGCATTCTCCAATGTCATCATGACAACAGTATTGTATCAACAACTCGCATTTGAATGCTGACGACTCTGTCGTTGCATACTCGCCGCACATTAAGACTTCACTTTCTCTTTTTAACCATATATTCCAGCTTCCTGATTTCATTTGATACATTCTTGCAATAGTATTTGTCAACATGGCGATGTTGCTTGTTGGCACCTGATGTTATGAGTGTAGGAAGAATACTTTCCAATCAATTGGTTTATAGTTTGAAAACAACATGTACAGTAGTATAGTAGTCCTTTATGCCTCACTTCCAGCTCATTCGCACACAATGTGATTTACATTTTAATTTGCCTCGAGGTCCAAACATCTTCACACCGACACTTTGAGACATTCTAGTGTAGAAGAGTGTAGAAGACTTTCTAGTAAGACATTCTTATACTAGGAGCAAGGACGCTACTAGGGGCTTCTGGCCTTACTACTAGGAGCAAGAAGCTACTAGTAACAAGTGCATCGCTACTAGTAACAAGAAGCTACTAGGGCCAAACATCTTCCACATTCTGTTTCTCCACGCACGTTGACCGTCATCGCGTCCACCGTCGCCTCGGCGTCACGTCCGAGGTTCTGCACCTTGCAGTGCCGGACCTCGGCTGCCACGGGCGGCGAGTCCGTGTTGGTGAGTGGCGCGGAGCTGTTGGCGGCCCTGTCCAACGAGGAGCTTCGGACCTTGATGCAACCGGGCTCCTGGGCTTTAAACAGATGGCCGAGTTTTGGTGAGTGGTGAAGAAGGGGTGGTGGTGGTGGTGCTGGTGCTACTGCTGCAAGTGGTGGGGGTGCGAGAAGGGGTCCAAACGAAGAGGGCCAATGACAAGAAGTACTGGTGAACACACCAACTGTTGTGTCAACACAACAGAAAGACTGACACCAACTGTTGTGCTGGTTGGATGGGGGATCCCTCCCCCGAAACACACTCGCTGGTGGCGCTTTTGGGATGAGATTGGAGACTTCGGCCCGACCCCTTTGGCTGGTGATGGCGAGGGCCACATACCCGACCTGGTGATGGCGAGGGTGGCTCGCATCGAGATGAGGCATGGTCTCAATGGGAAGGCGACCTGCTGCTGATGGCTCTTGGATGAAGGTCAGCTCCATCCCACTCTTTTGGGTGGATAAGGAGCCGAGATGTGTTGTGACATGCGGATGGTCAAACCCCAAAAGCAAGCCACTCTAGTTGAAGATTCAAGCAGACTGTACAGGCAGACTTTGCAGGCACCTTGTGCTCCCCCGAGTTTGATCCATGCAGCAACAGATCCCGTCAAAGAATGCTGGCAGGTGCTTTGTAGCGACCAGAGTATGCCACACACCGCTAACTGCCAACTGTTTCAGGATCACCAGCACTGAGTTGTACAGAGACCCCAAAAGATACCCCGCATTTTCCCGCCATAGCTGTGGGTGTTGGTGACGAGTGACGACAATTATATACTGTAATTCTTGCTTGCTGAACTTGCATATATCGCCCCTGGCAGGACTCTGGCTGGCTCCAGGTTAGGTGGCGCTGCAATGATGGCTGTGTCGGGGATGTTGCCGCAGAAGTAAAGCCTTCCTATGAGCAGATGGACGCAGTTGCTAGACATGAGGTACACCAGCTGGTTGTGCCTCTGAACCCTGGAGAACTTTTGATCGTAGACAATCGGGCTATTGCACATGGCCGTCGCCCCTATGAGTCTGACGACCCTCGAATAATGTGGAGAAAGAACTACGTAGGGAATGGTGAGCTAGAAGCTCAACTAAGAACTGGCATGTGCGCCGCTTTTTCCAGTATGTTTGATGGACTGCACAGCATGTTCGATCCTATGTCTCTGGATACCTCCAAGCTGAAGATTTAAACCTGGCGCTTGGAATGTACAGTGAAGTAGGTACAGGAAGGACGCGTCGGAAGAGTTGACAGCTAGTTTCCCATATTCTTACTCGTTTGAAGCTAGTTGAAGCTAGAAGCCTCCTTTCACAGGACACCATCAAACCGACAGCTGGCAATGCAGACTCAGACGCAATCCCATGCGGGATCCACGAGTGGTAGTGAGAGACTCACGAAATTCGTGTGGCCGCACAACCTGTTTGCGGCCATCCACTCCACTTTGTGTGGCCTCGGCAGAGTTGTGTCCGGTGAGGGCTGTGCGCCAATGCGTGCACCTGGAGGTTGTTCACACCAGAAGTACCTTGAATGCCCCAATTATGCAGGGGGAGAAACACCATAATGTCCACGAGTTGCGACATTTTCGAGCAACCTTGACCCGGCTAATACTTTTGAGTGTGCTGGCGGAATCTTGAATCCGACGAAAAGGACAAAATGACCACTTCATTTGGAAAGCACATTTAAGATCCGTTTCCACGGCAACAGATCTCTTTTCTCATTGGCTGCCGCGATGACATGTCAAAATGCCGCAGGATCAAGGACTTTACGAAGTCTATCTGGACAAAACAAAAGATGTTAGGCGCTAGGCCCTAGGACCGAGCAGCTTCGGTATTGCTGTGGGACTGTTGTACTTTTGTTGATAGCAAAAGTCTTTGCCGAGTCACTCAGGCAGCAAACATGTAAGAAAGCAAGAGATTAAGGTCACTCAGTCATACACCTGTCCAGTTACATTGGTGTTGTCCAAGGGCCCCAAGGGCCTTCTTTTCGGCTGATGGTTTTTGTGGTACTCATGGACTGGATCCAGAGCTTGAGTTCTTCCATTTGTAACTGTCCCTGCTGGTCACGCAAGCACGTCGGTCTCTTGGATACTGAAAAGGAGGCGATCGTGATGGAGGGTCATAAAGGAGAACATCTTTATACTTGGGCATTGCAACAATGGCAACACATAGGTTCACACCAATCTGTCAAAGCCCTCACAAGGGAGGGCAGAATCCTGGTGAATGGCTGCAGGGTTGCTGATTTCCACCGCCTCAGTGTGGGTGATCACGTCACCCTTCACATGGAACCCCATGTCTTATCTCTGTCGCACACCTTTGTCCGCCGGCAGGAGGTTTGTGCAGAGCATCAAGGTATTCGGCTGGAAGGCTTTTGTAAGATCTTCTTCTCTGATATTCTCACTTCCCGCAAGGCCATTCGTGAAGCTGTCAAGCAGGGCTCTGTGCGTGTGGATGGCATGCAGCTAGAACATACTCGCATTTTGCAGGAAGGTTCTTTGGTCGAAATGTCACTCCCAGCCGTTGAGGCTTTGCGGGCACTATGCCCGGCCAATTGCTGGCCTCGGATTGTTCATGAGGACAACGCCATAGCTGTCGTTTGGAAGGAGGCCAATGTGAAGTCAACTGGTGGTTGGCAAACCGCTGAAAACGGTGCCAGGCTTCAAGTGAAAGCTTCTCGCGACTCTGATGCTTTCGACGAAAGGTTGAAATCCGTGCACCGTTTGGACAAGCCGGTGGCAGGCTTGATGCTCATGGCCAAGACCTATGCTGCTCATCGGCAATTGATGTTGTGGCTGAAGGAGAGGGGTCAGATCTCCAAGATCTATCGTGCCATTGTTGAGGGTGATCCTTTGCCAAAGGCGCAGAAGGTGGACTTGAAGCAACTAAACGGAACAAGCCTTCAGGGGCTGTGGTCTTTTCAAGTGGACGTGCCAGTGGAAGGTCGGGAATCCTTGAGCTATGGCCGGAAGATTGAGGAGATAGATGGCTTCAGCGTTTTGGAGCTTAGTCCCATCACCGGGCGCAGACATCAGTTGCGTCTGCACATGGCTTCACTTGGATGTCCCATCCTGGGAGACTCTGAGTATGGCCACGTGTCGCACCGAAACCACCGTGTCCGCGGCATGCTGTTGGCCTCGGTCGGGCTGCGATTTCCACATCCCATCACTGGGGAAGTCATGGTGTTTCAGGAGCCGGAGCCTCCACACTTTCAGTGCTGGCGACTTGCCCAGGGCGAGAGCAGGTAGGTGCTGGAAGATCATCGCATTCAGAAGCCCTCCCAGCTTCTTGGCTTGGTCTTCGATACAAGTTTCACTTCTTGGTTTGGATGAAGTCGAGATTGCTTCAGGCCTAGTTTCAAGTCCAATTCCTGCAAGCCTTTCAATCTTCTGAGGCTGTTGCCCTGCACTGCATGCGACTCCTGAGGTCCTGGTAGTTGGGCAGCACTTATGCAATCTTGTGCATACGCTTTTGACAGGCCAACTCAGAAGCAGAAAGGTGATGCAAATGGATGCTACTGGCACGAAGGGATGTGTTTTTTTGGGTTCTTTTTTCGATTCCTCTCCCGTTTTGGCATTGATACATCCTTGCCACTAGGTCATTGTGCTCATTCACTAGCTGATCTGCGCCAGAGTGTGCGGGCCCGTGATGCAGCTGCTTGAACCCTTATTGGAGTCACAAGTGACTCTTTCAGTGGCCCCAACCGAAAACAGTTTTGCTGACCAGGTTGCCCAAATGCTGATGAGATGGAGTCCGGAGCAGTCGTCGCTGGGCTGAAACCCATTGTTTCTGCAGATTGAGAGAAGTTTCTGCGCTTGCAACTTGCACCCTTGCTGGAAGCGTTCGTAGCTGCTCACAAAGAAAGAATAAGAATGAAGTGCATGCTGCATGCAGTAAGATTCTGCAAGCCATCAATTCAAACAACAAATTATGCCAAGCTCACAAAATGTCTCAACCGGACCAGACTTGCAAAAAGCTTCAACCAGCTCAGGCATGAAACAGACCAGCATGCACCTTCCAAACACGCCGTCATTGAACCTGTCAGGAAGCCTTGTGAGCGACTCCTGTGGAGCAACCCCCGTTTTGTTGCCATGTTCGCCATCCCTGTATCTTTGCAAGTTCCCGTGGCGCAGGCTCAGTCCAGAGCACTGTACTGAGATTATGTGATCCATTGGGACACCTCATGTGATCCATTGTAAAGACTATTTTTCTGCTTGTGAAACATGCTGGTGACATTGATGTCAGACTTGGCTTGGAGTTGCCACTGAAACGCTAAGGGACCTACGCCCAGGCCACAGCCAGCACATCCACCGAGGACTGCTGAAGAGATCCGCGGTGAGTTGTTAGGCAATTTGCATGGGCCACTGTTCCCTACTTCCTATTACTTAACCATGGTCCCCCAGTAAAGAAACAGGAGAGAAACATGAGAATGTTTGGCAATAGGGTATGTTTATTGTTAATGGGGATCTCGCGGTCCTTGAGAACTTGCTTTGAGCCTAAATCAATGTATTTGGCGGAATATTGGCAATTCTTGGAGTCCATCTAATGCGCCCAAAGCCTAGACGTTTTGGCACGAAAAGTGATAAAAATAACATATTTTGGGCAGGACAACTGCCTGTTTGTTTTTGTAATGTTTTGTCGGGGCCGTGTAGTGATAGGAACTCGAGACTCGAGATTATGTTTGGACAAGACCAGCGCATTCTATCCACAATTCACCGAGCGACCCAACACGTCTTCTGGAGCATTTCTCAGCGCTTCAGGAATCTTGCACCATTCTTGTTGGCATCACCTGCAGCTATCTATGCAGGAAGACGTCGCTTTCAGGCCCCAACATCAAGTTCTGTGGGTCGATTGGTTCATTCGCCGGAGTCGCCTTGGCATGTTCAGGCTCAGAGGCCGTGTGCCGTGCACAGATGTGCTACAGCAGCACCTTGGCGGATGGCAGAATCGGATTCCATGGCTTCAACAATAGAAACATCAATCAATTCATCCATTCATGTACTGGTGGTGTCTATGTGCTTGTCCATTGTCTATGTATTTGCCACTGGATTGAGATGAAGCATGAGCCCTTGATGGCATAGGTGAAAGAGCAAGCTCAAGGAGAGCTCATTGCAGAGCTTCTTGGCTGCACCAGGCACTGCACCAGGCACCGGTGTTGTATTCTACTGCATCAGCGTTCCGGACCACAGAGCGCTGTGGGAGATAACACCCTTGCCCCTTCACAGCAGGTTTGACCGGGGCTGCCTGGTCATGTGGCTACTACCACAGCAAGCCTTGCAGCTACTTGACTGCATCACATCACATCAGAAACTCGCCATATGTCGCCAACTATGTGGATCTTGAAGCAGATACTGTCAGCCAAGAATTTGGGAAGATTCTCCGGCTTAAGCCGCAGTCTGGAAGCTGCCTTGCTCAGGTTGGCCGGCTGGCTTGGCGAATGGGAAGGAGAAGCCTTTGGCAGCCAAGAGACGAACTTCTGGCGGCAACGGATGATCCTTGCAGCCCGGATGGGAAGAATCAAGGAGGCTCTTACGAAGAATGAGAGAACCAACGGTGGCTGAAAAACCTATGGACAACTTGTCTTGTAGCTCATATAGGCTATGCGGCTATATATAGGGTCAACAGGTAAAACGGGTCTTTGAAGTTCCTTTGGTGCCAGATGTATATGGTTCTGCCTGAGGCACCCTGTGTCGCAATAGGTTTGCATATTCACACCACGCAAACCTTTGCGGTGGTCTGTGGCCCCCGTTGTCCGGACGAGCTTCACATGAGGCCATGAAGAGCCGTTTGGAAGCTTTGGCCTTTGATGCGAGTTCCCTACCTGCAGTGGTGGGGATGCACGCGAACACCGTTTTATGGTTGTTTTGGATCGACGGATCGATTTGCTTGAGATGGACAGTTCGAAACCGTGGTAGACTGGGTAAGGGAAACGACAAAATCAAATGGTTGTATGCATGCACATTAAGTTGCACATTTAAAATATATTCAGACGGGTTTTGTTAAGACAGTATGAAATGCCTCATGTTTAGTTTTGCAACGTCAATTTCCGGAAATTTTGCGCGGCACGGACATGTCCTGAGCACGCTATAGCACGCTCGTTTTTGTCGTTTTTTTCATAGAACACAGTGGAATTTCGATTCAGAGCTATCCTATTTGTTTCCGAGGGTTCGTCGTGTATTTTTGCTCATAGTTGTGTGAAACAACACAGGTCTAACGCGTTATCATATTTTATCCATTCGGCAACTCATCTAGTTGCAGCTTGAGAGCATGCACCCTCATGAAGCTCTTATGAAGCGGCGTCTCCAACCTCTTTCGGCGTCTCTTTGGATGTCCAAGGCCCAAGAGACCAACCGCCATTCCAGATCTTCTCCGTCCACAAGTCGACACTTGGACTTGTGTCCCAAGAGAAAGACCTGCTCCAGCACAGGTATTGAAATTGAAATACTCAAATATTGCAATATGAAGTTCTGGGCCCTGAATGCAGGCATGAAAACGGCAAACCCAGGTGGTCTGAAACGCTTGAGCAACTGAGCGTACCTGGCCAAGCCAACTGGTCTTTGTCGCAGCGGCAAGCAAGCATTCCAAATTGAACTCAGGTTCAGCACGAGCAGACCATTAGCAATGGCTATGGCAGCATGGCAAAAGTGTGTCGACTCGTGGACGTCCCAAACGCAGACATGCAAGATACTTGCAACATCAGACACTTGCAACGCGTTGAGTTGAGGTGTTTAAGTTCGCAATGATGATTTGACAATGTTTGGCTTTCAAAGGATGTGGGGTCAAACGAAATCACCAGGTCCTGGATGTGGGGTCAACCGAAGGATGTGGGGTCTTGGAAAAGTCAGCGAGTTTGTTGCAAACTGAGGTCTCAGACAGGTCCTTCAATCTGGAGCCGTTGAATGCCTTGCATTTGGACCACATTGTAGGCAGTCCAGAGCAACAAGCCAAAGGGTACCTTGGTCAAGTTGGGTTCTGTTCAGCTTTCCTGGTTGGACTACTTGCTCTGTGAGTGCATTTTTGCAGGAATGATGATGTTCCAATTCAAGAAAGTGCTTGACGGCTCGCAAAATGCTGCATTGCTTGTTTTAGGTTTGGAGCCACACTTCTTCAAGGTTTGGTGCAGCGTGCTGCCATGACCCAGCAGGCAGACCTTTCCCTCTAGACACACGGAGGCAAACATGTGCCTTCTTGTGAGTCGTTTGACACATTAAGACATCTTTCTCGGTGTTTGGCTTCTCATTCTTTGTACACGATGTGTCAACAGCTCATCTATCCTTTCCCACACTTTTGTTCTCTCGCTTTGTTGCAAAAGGAACATATGGAGAAGTCGGACAATTAAGTTTCCCTAAGCGCTTCTTCAACAAAACTCCCCCCGCCCTCAGGCGGGGGGAGCGTGAGCTACTGTATCCTGCGTCCTAGCTAGAAGCTTCCTATTGCTAGAAGCGAACTCGTCACTAGTCGCCCTTACTTCATTAAGTTGGCGCCTACTTAATCAAGTAAGGAGGCAGGCCGCCACGGGCTTTAAAAATGATGTCATTGACCTCTTCAGAGGTCTTGGTTTTGGAGCCTCAGTCTCCGGGCTTGGAAGCCTACTTCGGGCGCCTTGGCTTTCGGCACGTCCAGGCCAGGAAGAGTGAAAGTTTCTTCCTTTTCTGTGGCAGACTCTTCAGTGAGCGTTTAGCTGCCTAGGATTAAGACAGACACGCATTATTGTGACACTGCGTACTGTATATATAGTGTTATAGATACATACACATACATCCGAAAATGCATTCGATGATGCGAAAGCCTTCGAAGCTGCAGCTTTTAAACCGATGCCACTTGCCTCATCTGCCACTTGTCTTTGGATCCGTCAGGAGGTGGATCCATATCTTTGGATTCCTTCTGGGAAGTTGGACAACGAGGTCTGTCTGCGCTTTGTGCTGTCCGAAGATTCGGACCACGAGAGGTGCGCTTTGTGTGTGTGTGTGTGTGTGGGGCAGGAAGCAGTAGGAGTTTTGTTTATCATCGTTGGCTGATGGCTCGCTTATGGCTTCCTCGTGGGCATATACAAGGATTTGACACAGATTCGGGGGGAAGAGAACGCAGGTATGCTTCAAGTAGAACTTTGCAAGGGAGTCACAAGCACAGGGCCACCTGCTAACATCATCTGAAATTGCTTCTGTGTGGCAAGGCCATGGCTTTCCTATGGTATTGTTTACCTTCGGAAATAAATGTGTAGATTTATGTTAGCCACTTAGCATAACTC